AGCACAGCGCCTCCAGCCACAGGTGCAGCACCTGCTCACTGCCAGGCACAAACAAACATATCATTACCAAAAGGTCAAAACTTGAAGAGGCTTATCTTTATAAGTCTCCTGGCAGGAGAATTTAACCTTACCTGGCAGAAATTACTCTTTCATCATAGACTTGGCATAAGTCAGGGATTAATTATACTAAGGCTACAGACACTGGGGATTTGCTGGCAGCACAATGTTGAGCATAAGAACATTGACATAGATTAATTGCACTGCATTGATATCATGTGAGATGAGTTACATGTATTTACATTCTGAAATTGGAAGATACAATGTATATACACAGGGCTTTAATCAATAGGTAAATCAAACACTATTGTATAAACATCTACTGGTAGTGCTAGTATAATAGTGAGGATGACATTTGCATTTCATTTGCAGAAATTCAAACCTAGATCTGCTGATCATTCTATGGTATTTGGTTTCCCAATAGTTAGACTCTGAAAACAAATCATGCAAGCTTCACATATATCAGAAGCATTAAGTCTAATTCTATGTCTACTTACTTTAGTCCATAGCAGATCCATGATCTAAACTGGTGAGGCAGGACAAGACATGACATGATGTGGTCAGTGGGGAGAAACATTCAACATGTCATCAATGGTGCACTCAGTTAGAAACTACACTACAACTCAGACAAACAAGCAGCCAAGACAACTACTGTAAATTTTACTGTGTTACAGGATGGCGGGTGCTTTGATATCTCTAGCCAATAATATAACATTTATATATGCCTTTGGTAAGGCATGATGAAGGCATTGTTATATGGAACGTAAGTTGATGCCAATGATGTTACTGTTAATGTGTTGTTTTCTGGTTGGTATGTATTTGGGAGGTAGACAGAGGGCTGGCACAGAGAGGATACCTTCACGTCCATACAGGCATGAGCTGTGTCATGGGTCATATTCACAGACTGCACGGCCTGCAATAGAGATGTACATGTACACATTGTATTACAGAGTAGGTCATAAAATTCTGAACACTTCTCTAAACTTTACTGATATCTATACTTTATAGATGTACTAAAGCAAGTCAGACAAGGCAAAAGTGATGGCCTGACCTACAAAAGGAGTTAATATTCATATGCGCAGACAAATTTTCTTTAATACATGCATCTTTCGACAGGAGGTGCTAGACCAATCAAACTACATGTAGGGACCAATGTACACAGGTGCAAGCAGGTGGACAAAAACAAGGCACATTCGTCAAGGGGTCAAGGACTTACCCTGTAGAGAAGCTCCTCTGGAGTCAACACCTTACCATCTTCATCCAACCTGCAGGACCAAAAATCATACACTACTTAGAAAAGATGAAACATTCTTGATATCATATTAAGGTTTTATTACAGGTTTCAGCTTAACAGATTGTATACTTAGAACAGTTATCTATGATATTTATGTTTTGGGTGTCATTAATTGTAATATGTGACCCACTTCTGTTGGTTTCACCATGTTTATTGGCCTGGTAAGAACACTTGCCACATGTGCATGTCCCATCTGCAGGGCCAAGGAATGTCCTGCCCCACATCACATCTGGAACACTATGTCTGGAATCCTCCACTTCACCTAAGTACCATTTATTTTCCTTCACTTGATGATGGGCACCTAAACCTGAGGAATCATTGCAATGTGGGGATGGGCAGCTGTATGTCAAACAGACACCCTGGCCTTGTAACAGAGTTTCATAACACCAGATTTGGATTACAAATATCAGCCAGAAGTTTTAACAGTAATTCCTGTCAGCATAGTGTACCATTGCAGGATGGGTCTGAATGGTTTGACAAAGAAAATCTTAATTCATTTCGTATTTGCTTTTGAGCAAGATTAGCTTAGTCTATGGGGATTCATGAGATTTGCCCAGATTTCCTTATCCATCAAAAACTTTAATCAAACAATGTGTGGTGTATATAATCATAGACTTCTGCTATGTGGACATCACTTAGAATGACTAGTGGACAAAGTTGGTATCAGTGACTAACTGCATCCAACAGATAGGAAAAGCAAGGACATGGATAAATCCAGCAAAGTGAAGGGACGAAAATCCTTCTATAACAAAACAGAGGGACGAGTCAGATGTTTGGATTAAGGTATCTCTCTGTGGAATGATAACAATGGCTTCAGCACTGATATCAAAACAAAGGAAGATGCCACATGGCCAGACAGTAGGAGGGGAATGTTTAGTTTCTGGGAAGAAGACCTGCTGCACCTGTCTTAGTTTCTCAGAAGACCTGGTGTATTACTTAATATATAAATGCATCCATGCAAAATATGGAAAAAACAGATATGGCAATCATTTTCCTATTAGTAATGTGTACTTACTTTTATATTTAACTGACACATTTTGTTGTCAACTTATTCTTATCCAGGCAAGCCTTTTTCACACATGGCCTGTGTCTTTTCATAACAGAGACAAAACAGAGAGAGGAGAAACACAGCAATAGATACCCAAGACCAGCAACAACAAGTGTCTGCTTACAGTCTTTCACCACCGGTACAAGGCACGCTTGCAGATGTTGTGGTTTAGGGAGTGCTCTTTTATCATAACAAACTATACTTTGGGCACTTTCTGGTGTAATTAGTGTGCTGTTCTTCAGAGTATTGTATATTTTTTTTGTACATGTTGATACCCAAAATGTCTGGTCAGGTAAGTAGTAGGGTCTGATTTGAGATAAATGTACATGTGCAAAACCCAAACTTTGTACTAAGAAGTGTCAGAGACTCAAAACATGAGAAGGGTTCTGTTAAAGTTACTTTGGAACAATATATAATCAGAGGAATTTTCAAGATTATCAGTTTGTTTCTGTTCTATTTTGTTGTGCCACAAACTAGACAAAAAAGGATTAAGAGAAGGGATCACAATGTATAATCATCATGACAACCACCACCTAAGGCAACACTGCATTCTGTATTGCTTGAGTCTGAGGCTAAAGGAAGATCAGCACATACATGGACATTTACATGTACATAACTGGTAAATATGTTGTATAGAGTGGGTTGACAGCAAATCTTGCAAAATTTGTGTGTTGTGTTTTTTAGTTCTGACAGAACATTTTGTTGCAGTAATTAACATGTTTGTAAAGTTTGTGGAGCCATGAGAATCTAGAGCACCTGTAGGTGGTGGGACAGACATGTCGTCACCCTCATATGGGAGACAGGAAACCACAGAACAACACAATCAGAGGAGGATAAAATCTGACATTTACAACATGTTCCACAATGAGCTGCCTTCCCAGGCTCACAGGAAGTGGGTGGAAAAGTTAAAGATTTACTATGATTTGGTAATGCCTGGTGGTAATGCCATTGTGGTGTAGAATACCTGGCACATTAGCTAATCACTAAGAAATCACTTGGAAACCTAGCTGGGAATAATGAGTGTTTTAATGTTTCTTCTAGTTATCAAAATTGGCAAACTACATTGTAGTGTTATTGTTGGAAGTTGCCAGGATAACTTAGATGAACACATAGCTTGTACATTCCGCCCATATGTTCTGCCCCCTTGTTTCCCACACAGTTTAAGATTGTTTCCTGCCAACATGATTAGGAAAGTCACCTCTACTATTTTCCCACAGTGTTGATAAGTCTCTGTGGCATGCAATATCAACAGGGTCAGGTTGCTGACTTTTAAGGTGGGTTCACACCCTGGTGAACACAAGATTTGCCACTGTTCCTACAACAATGTCTCATCCAACATAACTACTGACAACTCAGATGTCCTGGAGAAGGCACAGGAAATCCCAAGTTGGCTTTAGTTGGCTTTGTTGTCAGCAACTGACATTATAGACATCCTGGTATTAGTTAAGGTTAGCCACATCCTCTAGGGTTGCTATCTATGTACACAGGAGGAAGAGGGACATGGTCCAAAGACAGGTTGTCTACACGAATACTGAAGATTAAAGACATTCTTTCTACGTAGCTCTATATGTGTATGCACATACATGTACAGGAACATGATCACTATATCCACAAGACACCAAAAGAAAGCTATTCTTTTCTGTGTGATTGATTGACTCTCATTAGCACTTGCTAATTTCTCTGTGCCTGTCTCTTCTTTTCAAGACATGGTGACTCACCATGTCTTGAAAAGAAGAGACAGGCACATTGGTGACCCAGGGTGGTACAATGTAGAAACCCCCCTTTCAAAGTGGCATTAGTGAAGCACACTTCAGGTTGGCAAGGGCATAGCAGGTTCAGCAGGAGTCAGCCTCCCGTGAAGTGTAACCACCCTGCCTGCTGACAGCTGATTGACAGCTTACAGGGCAGGTGTTGACGGTTGACTTGCTCTGAGGCAGCTGAGGATGGAGGAGCAATGGACCATTTCATCAACTTGATGGCAGACCAACTACTCCACTGAAAGGAGCCTTCTATATTTAGCGCTGAAGAGGACCACAGTTGCAAATACAACATTCCTGAGATAAATTCCAATTAATAAATGTTAGGCTGCAAATTTTCAACCAAAATTAGAAAAAAAATTCATACCCAACTCTTTCGACCAAACATGACAGATTTTTAATTGGTGAAAAAATTGTTGTCACTGAGTAGGAATGTTTTGTTGCTTCATATTGTTTTCAGTCCACAGAAGAATTAGACTAATACAGTCACAAGACCATACCAGCAGGAGCAGTGACGTAATGTCCCACACAGTCACTGTGTTTGTAGTGGTAGGGAATAAAAAATTCTCCTTGGAATCATACTGTTGAAGCTGAAACAGATCTTTTGTCACTAAAATGGCTTTGGGTCTCAGTGGGAGGCCAATCTCGGCACGGAGCTGGGATTTAGGTACGTTGTCGGACCGTGTCGGTAATGTTGACTAAACTTTCAACTTCCGTTCTAGAAATGTTATATGTGACATACACATATGTTCTCAACTAGTATTACAGAATCTGATGCAATGCTAACTGGCTCAGTCTTTATCTCAGACAAATACCTGTTTCAAAACCCAGTACCAATGAGATCTTAAACTGAGTCTGTAAAGATAATATTTTCAGTTTCTGTATGATACATGTACTTGCCTTCTATCAACATGTTTTCATTATTCATATAATATGATATTTCCACTATCTGCATAGGGACAGTATCAATCACCAATAACATTTTAACAGCTCAAATACCAGACAAGGTGTACAACTGTCAAACAGGAGATAGGCACATAAACAAAATGTCACAGCTAACAGCAAACAAGAAACTGTCCTTGTCAGTTCGTTTGTTGCTGAGATGTATCCTAGCAACTAAGTTTGTTATGCTCCGACCTTCCTGTTTGTCTATCTATTTCCATGGTAACTGTTACACAAGATAATGTGATAATGTTTTGTGTTGGTTAATACTTTATCACAAGGAACTGAAACAACAACAGGAAACTGGAGATTTCAAACCTCCAGGAAGTATCTAGTATTTTTGAAAATTTATTGGCACAACCAAAGAGAAGGTTCGGCAAACAACAGTGGGTCTAGGACAGAAACCTCATAGGCCGAGAGACTGGAAGGGTGCAAACCTAACTTCATGTGTCAAGCGCTAACTGCAGAAACAGACTGGGTGGAGCTTCTTCTCAATCTGTAGGTACAAAATCGATGACTCTGTTCCTGCTAGTCTACTGCATTCAAATACCTTTGGACACACAACACATACACACACACACACACACATACACTCACAAACACCGAAAACAATTACCTCTGGGTATTATTTGTTAGGAAGTAAACTTTCTGTTGTTTCAAGTGGGGATTTGTTACCACAGACAATCTTCCCTGAATGGGATACAAAGGTACACAGTGCCAGCAGTGTCTGTGCTGTGATGGGTTCTGTCTCTCACCTGTATGTTTTACACAGCACCAGTCTGGAGTACACTGAGTCAAAGTCCTTCTCCACTTCTCTCTGAGCAGCCTGCAGGGAACAATGAGGATACTTTATAACTTGTCTGTGTCCTCCAAAGGTCCTACCATAGATAAAGACTTACTGAGCTGTATAGTGTCAAACCGTTTCAGCTTAATGAAAATGTGCTTTGGGGGTGAAATGTTTTAATTTGTTTATCAGTACCAACTGTAACAAGATGTTCTACACTGATACCTTCCAAGGTTTGTTGACCAATGTCTCTGTAGTTTTCTTGTCATTTATTAATTGTGTAGTTTTCTTGTCATTTATTAATTGTACCAGGTGATGTAATCTGCCTGTTTTCATGATTCATCTTCTTAACTTATGTACTGACTAATCCAGAAGCAAATGGAACATGTACAACATTGCAGTTTCCATTGAGCTGTACCTTCTCACAAAATTCTGTGAGAAGACTGAAGAGAAAGCCACTTGTTTGCAGTAACCAGCAGTAATGAGAACAAACAGCTATACAATGTACATGTCTGTGTATTTGATACTGGTATTTCCATTTTGCAGTTAAAAAAGCGCATATAAAGAAATTGAAAGAAAAGGTTATTCGCTCTCAAATCTACAGCTACAGTATGTCAATCAGAAGACACTTTATGAAGACCACCACCTGAGCTTACATATCTTGTCTATCAACAGTTAAGGCAAGTGGTATTACATGTGTACATGTGATGTTTTCAATAAATATTTGGGACTTCACAGTGCTGAGTGATGAATTCACCACTGGCACATCTGTATAATTTATGAATTGACCTGTCCATCATTCTTGAGCAAGTCTCCTCACCTGTTGACTTAGTGCCTGAGGTCTCACCTATGCAAAAAGCCAGCACAAAAGGAAGGCTTATGCTAGGTGGAAAGGCTAAACCAAAACACACACACAAAACTGCCCCTTTTGGGCATAAATTGATTCTTCAAACATGAGTGCTTATGCTTGGAGCCAGCTCAGTTCCACATGGATGGTGCAAACAAGCCAGGTGAGGACAGGTTGAGAGCAGGTTAATAGGTATGACTGACAGGAGGGAGCCAGGCTGACAGGGCAGCTTTGTTAGGCAGGGAGGTGCAGATATACTTCTTAAGTGGCAGAGGCTGGAAGGGAGTGACAGTTGTGGAGACCTGTTGCCGTGCGGTTTGTTTGTACGGAGTTGTCAACATTCTCCAAGGATTAGAGCATACTTTAAGAAGGGGAGATCCTGATTCTTCAAATAGATGAAGGGCCTATCCAAGGTCTTTCTCCATTTGCAAAACCTGGCTTCATACCACATTTAGTTCTGACAATATGGTAGTCAACAGTCAACTAAAATTTTTATGATGCTGATGATAATTGCATTTTAAGCATTACAGTTTGGACATTATGCTACATATTGTCAGAAAGACACATCCCCCATCAAACTGCTAAGAAATACACTTATCTGAAGCATATCATTCAACCATTCAATCTGACTCTGTTACCATGTTTCACCTGCATGACCCATGCATTTAAAACACGTTCTCCTATACTAAAGTAGAGTTCACCAGGATATCTAGAACAGAACATGTTCTTGACTCATGCCATATATTCATTTGTCCTTCTCACAGTGACACCAATATCCAGGTGCAACCTCAGGACTTCCGTCTCACAGCAGTGTAGTGCCTACTCCTTTTGGTCTTGTTGACAAACTTGGACATTTTTCTGTAGTTGCTGACAACCCCCTGGGCAGTGTATTTGTATTGACCGCCCCACTCCCCACAGTGCTATTCTACTCCTACCCCGGCCGCACCTGCAGTAACAATGGGTCTGGCCACTTCACATTCAGGAAACATTCTCGTCAAATCATGTAGTGTGGAGCCTTTGCGATTTGCTTTAAAAATATTCTTTTTCATTCCTTATTGTTTTATTCTTCTTTGCTATTGATTTTTCTTTGATTTTCATTTGCTTCTTTCCATCTCTTTTCTCCTTCTTTCCATCTCCAGTTTTCACCACTCCCATCTCTTTGACTGTAGAGTGAGGTATGCATGGATGTGAGCACTAAACCTGCCATGAATACCTTCCCAACAGTCCATGTCAAAGAGAGATGCTGTGTTAAACAGCGTCAAAAGCTTCACTCAGCAGGTTGTATAGCACAGCCTAACTTGCTGACAGCAATACCTGCCTTCTGTTCTGGGTCCTGAATTATATAAACACTGAAATGTCACAAAACATAATGTTGATCCTCCCACTTCCTCACAGTAGGGTTGTCACAAGCAATAGCTTGTTTTGTTTCAGATGCTGATGAAAGATACTCAGGGGTACAATGCAGGAGCTGACATTTTGAAACGAAAATATTCCACTAATGTGCAGGTCAGAAGAAAAGACTGACATACCTCCTCGATGAATAACCAGGGGTGGCAGGTTCTCCCCAGGATGGACGGCTGCCGCAAACCGTGGTCAAATATCATCTTCAACGCTGGACACAGCCTGCAGGGACAATGATCACACAATGTTCAAAATATCTACCCTTAATGTGATTTTTCGATTGAACATTGGTAGAATAAGTAAGGATAGGAAAAGGGTATACAAGTGACTTTAACATTAATCTATTGGCAGCAAATATGCGTCCCCTTTCATCTAGCTTCTAGCACTAGGTAAATCAAAGATACTGGCAAAGGCCCAGGACTGATCTTTAACAATTTAAAAAGTGTCACCCATATTGACAAGCACAAGTCAACTTTATCATCCCAGGTAGTGAAGGTTAGACAGAAGGTCATATAGAACCACGTCCACCCTGGTGCCCAGCAGGTGCCACATACATCACGGCACAGCCTGTCACTACTACTAAGTACACTTCTCCTCTGGTGACATCACGTATAATAACTCATTACACTTAAAACAAAAGGGTAGTGTGGGAGAGGTAGAAGGAAATGGACTAACAGACGAACAACTACTCAGTATTAAAGAAAGACAGTGGGATGATCTTGTATAAAGGGAAAATGGCACTCCATCAGGTAGTATTTCCAGGAAGCAAAGGAGCATTGACATTTCAGATCAAAGTTATTTCTCAGGGTTATTCAATTAAAAACATCTCAGTCAGTCTGTCTCATCTCATCACTTTTAATTTGATGCAATTCTAACTACCTCTTCTTTCAGTCAATTCTACTTAAATGTTCTGTGGCCAGTCAGATTTAAACTACAGCACTACACAAAAACAAGGCACACTGAGGGTACTGGTAGTTCAAGACCACTGCCTTACATAACAGCAAGGCACACCTGCACCCTTATCTCAGGTGAGATAATGATCTTAAGAGGGTCAAGTGTCATTGTCTAGACTAGGGCAAATGGAAATACATCTACAAGTGCTCTAAGTGGAACATGTAAGTGAGAGTGGCATGGGAGAAAGATGGGGTGTGGTGTTGAGAAGTCACGCCACTAACTACATTGCTGACAATCAACTGTCACTGTGGTAATGTAAAGAGAAGCCGGTGTGTTATACCGAGGGGTGATTACATTGGCTATACAGATACAGAAATTGTCAACTATCATGTTCATTGGTGCACAATAGCTGTGTAGGTAACAATGGTTAAAACTGTGAAGATATAGGATCAAAGTGACAGGATCTAAGATCTGAAACACTGCGGGGACTTACTACTTCTAGAATTTTTCTTGTTCCCAAAAAGGGGTTTTCCACCCTCAGCAATGAGCAGCTTTGAACTCTAGAATGAACATTCAATTTTGATAAAGAACCCAGAAGGCCTGAGAACAAGGTCCATAACCTCTGGAGCCACAGTCTTAACCTTGAGGTGGCACCAGAGCTTGTCTGTAAGTGACAGGTCTGTCAGGGGAAACCAAACATGGCCTGTACAGGCACCCTCCCCCATTCTCCTCTCATTGACTTACTGAATACCATATCAAAATCACATTCCTGAGCAGTCATGTCATAGTGGCTGGCAAGAATGGGGGCTGGCAGACAATGACAGCCATACAAAAGTGCAGACAAGTCCGGGTTGACAGATTGTATGTCACCCTGCCATACTGAGATGACAGGTTACACCTTAGCCTGTCAACGGCCACAGAGTGAAGGTATATTTATAAACTGGATTGAAACCTTAGAAAGTTCAGGCAAACACAATACTTGATTTTGAAATGCAGAAATGAATAGCATTGGGACAATATTTGCCTTTGTATCCAGAGAAGTTTTTAGACTATACAATCGTGTAACCAAATCTCTACTAATCCCCAGCACATTTCCTTTCATTTGAAACAACCTGTTAACCTATTAGAAGGTCTAATAACTCTTGCTACACAATAGAAAATCAGTGGGGACTGGTGTGAACGTTTTAAGGGTCATTGGTTCAGACATTTTGGACTTTTTTATACATTCACACATTTTGAATCATACAGGCAGTACAGTAGAGTCACTGGAGTGGGCACTGATTTCCTTTGTAATGACCTGGCTGTTTCCAGTGATATACAGTACATGTAATATGGTATTTGACAGACTTTTACTGAACTCTGCTTGAACAATCTATCAAACTTCAACAAAGGTTGGTAAAATCCTGAGCACATTCCCCTTTGCTAACACTAACAGCACTCACAGAGTAGAGATGCCTGGGAACAAGATAGACAAGACAGACATGTATCTGCGACAGTTCAGGGTCAAATCAGAACTGTCAGCACACCACTGTTTACTGAAGATATCCTTACAAAAGTACTACATCTTTCTCCTTAAGTCTTGTTGAGTGAATACTATCCAGACAGAATCAGGTTCCAAAGTAGCTCTGTTGGGCTTGTTTGGAGGGATACCTGAGTCAGTAATAAACATGTACAGCAGTGCTGATGATAGGTTGACTGCAATGCCATACATACTTGGGATGCCTTGCATCATCTCATATTTTACTAGCAAGCAACACCCTACTTTGGAAAGGTTAGTGACCTTGCCATAAAAGACAACTTCATCTCTTAATCTTGGGTATGTATATCTATTCATTTTCCTTGTCTGTATGGGGGTCTTTTCATACTCTCTGTATCTTTGTTTCATTGAAGAAATGTTTAAATAAAGAACAACTTAAATACTCTATATGGATTTCCTGTTAACAGGTAGATTGAATATAATGTCTTAATAAAAGGTGTCCTCAACATATTACACTGTCATACCAGTATCTTGGGATGCAGATTGGGGTAAATGAACTTTACAAAAGACTGTCTACTTCCTGTTGTAATTACTTTCACCTTTATACTATAATACTTTAATTTTTGGTACTGAAAGGACCATAACCCCTCCAAAAACAAGACCCCTAATGTGTCCTCTCTTGTGAAAGGCTTGGTGTTTTCAAATGATTATCAGGAATTCTCTCTCCTGAAGGAAGAAATTCTGACACTTAATTTGATGGCCTTGCTTCTCCTCAGCAGGATTTTAGTGGATTAGGGACAGACATGCTGAAGTTTGGTCTGGTAGATAAGAGAATCCCATGGGCGGAGCACCTCATTACACCATCCTGGTTTGACCTAAGCTACCTAAACATGGTATTTACCATGGACCATTATCTAAGTATGGGTAAACAGTCCTGTTGGCTCTGGAAAACCCATCCCTTCTCTGGGACAAAAATGTGGAAAATGCCAGCTGATTTGTGTTTCCTTGAGAGCTGAACAACAAAAACACCTCATTCTGTGCAGGAATGCCAAATGTGAAGAGCAGCTACCTTTATAAAAACAAGGCTTTTCACAACATCACAGTCTCTTAGAGGCAATGGATTCCCGAGTTACTCTACAAGAGAGTGGGACATTGTCAAACTTGACTGAATGCCCAGAAGAGAAATTGTTAAAAACTGTCAACTCACGTTCCTCTGACCAGGTCTGTGATTGCCTCGGTGACTTGGTCGTCCCCAGCTGTTGTGTACTGTGAAAGTGAGACTTACATGAGCAAATTTTCTTTAATGATATGTATCTACATGATCTTAACTGAAACTTGACAACTAATGTCTGGTAGGTTTTCAGTTTGCAAATAGCTTGTCAATGGAATTTCGAAAGAGATTAACAGTTCTCACAGAAATGTTTTCAAAGAAACAGCTGTGGAGAACAAATGCTCTACTACACTGAATGCTAGAAAAGCCACTAATACCTGGGCATTTGTTGAGGACTCCAAAGAGAATGAGTTTGGCAAGTAACCAAAGAAACTAGAAGAAGTTTAAGTTTGAAAATAGGTACATCTATAGTAAACCTGCTGTCTGGCTTGTATGAAATATCATGTTCATCTATAATTCTTGTATCCCTCTTAGCTATTTACACCTATCAGAAACGTCACATTACATACCAAATCATAAAGTTATAATCAGATTCTACTTTAGTCAGGGCTACAAATGTCAGAATAATAAAATGATGACTTACAAGTTTACTTCTTTCATCGAGAAGCTCCACAAACTTGGCTGGGAACCACCCTGTCATCAATACAGACACTTGTTAGCATACAGGTTCAAAACATCATGACTTATAAGCGCCCCTATGTGACTTATTTCAGTATTGCACCTGCAGGTTTGATAAGTGTTAGTTATGAGCTCTGAAAGTGACTTACCTCTCAGGCCATTTAGCTCTCCAACCCAACAGTGCTCATCCTTCTGAGAGATAATCTGCAGAAGAAACAATGGGGTCCTTAACTCGTATTCACTGGTATCAATTTTGGCCCAAATTATAGGATGGGAAGTCAACAAAACTATGTTAGCAAACAACGCTGTCATGTAGAACAGTGAAACCATTCCCCAACTCACTGTGATGATGTCATTTTTCCTGAAGCCTAACTCATCATCATCGTGCCTCTCGAAGTCCAGCAGGGCCTTGGCCCGTCTCCTCCTGTTCCTGGACACGTTGACAAAGTTCTCGTGGTCCTGTTTGTGGCTCTCCAGCGAGTAGTCTGCCTGCAGGTCCTGGTAACAGTTACATGTATTATGATGTATACATCAACTCAAAAGTATCCCTGCTTTGGATACGTAGCAAGAATAGAAAAAACTTAAATTGTTGTTGTAAAAGTACAAAATTATTCATGCTTCTACTGACAGATGTTTGAAACATTTTGAAAATAGACAAAAACAAGGATGTTCTAATACAGTCTTTAATATCTGGGTTCTGGGACCGATAACAAAAAGATTTCTTTCTGAGTCAACTATACCACAGATTCAAGAAAAGAAATAGTTTACCATCTTGATGTTTGCATCAAATCCATACATAACTGCAACTGACTGTGCCAAATACTCACTAAATTGCAGTTCTTTGGATCCACAGACTGGAAGTGCTTAGCTATCTGCAGGATAGCTTCTCTCAGGTTGGACACCATCTCTGCAAAAATTATGATAAAATATGAATTTAAAAAATGTAAGATATCAAAATGTCATGTATGGTACTCCATTCATTCATTACTGATAGAATGTATGAAGTCTATTTGACATATGACTTTCACAAGGAAATTTCAGGTAATCAACATTTATATATTGAATCAAATTCTAGGAAATGAACCTGAAAGATAATCATTTATGATTACATCATGTCCCCACACTGATGTGCAACATATTGCTGGCTGTGTTAATCTCTTTCAGATGTTAATTCTGCCATCTGTAAGGAAAGAAGTTCTACCTGTTTGTTTGATGTTTTTGGCCTTCACCACCTCGGACTGCTCCTCTTCACCTGCAGGAGAGTGGACAGATTTCTCAGACCTTGATAATGTTGTATTTGTTTAATACCCTTTTTTAATTAGAAAGTTTTTCCAAATCTATATTTCATCCAGGAAAGATTACAAAATTTGAAAATCTACACAAGACCTGTCTCCTGGAAATATGAAAGATTAAACAACAATAAGAAACAGGGATTTGTGGCATACTTACCAAATAGTAATGACCCAATGAAAGATCTACTTCTGGAAAGTCTTCTTTTCACAAGTTGCTGTAAGATGAAACAACACAAGTCAAACCATGATTTATCTAACATCATAATGTGTGCCTCTCTGGCACAGTAATGGATTAGAAACAACAGATATCACACTGAACACTCCATTCAAAATGCTTTTATTAAGATCCATCTAATGTTTAGTCCTTGAAGGAATTGATAGGATATCTTTACAAAATAGGATAATTCTTACACCAGGCATATCATGCAGTTTCCTTGTGCGTAAGAGAACATTATCCTCTGACCTGTTTGGGCAGGTTGGTGGCCGTAGTGTCAGGGTTTATGATCTGTCCCTGGTCTGCCATGAGGTAAGCCAGGTGTTTCCTCCTGTGAGCCTCCAACACCACATCAGTCAGGGAGCCTGACGTCTGCATGGCCATCTGGGCAGGAAGACAAGTATGACAACCTGTTAATTAGCAGCTCCATGGATAACAACAAATACCTGCACCTGTATTGAAATCTTATGAAATAAGAAAAAAATAATCTCTAATCTTCTAAACCATAAAGCTGAACCAATTTCAATGGTTTGATGACTATAAAAGTAAAAACACAACTGTCAACAATATTTCATCTCCAAATGTTTCAGTCTTTCACTACAAAATGTTTAACTACAAAATGCATTAGGTCTATGTGTCTCAACTCACAACAAACAATCTCCACACAGACAGTCATCAATACACAGTATGTTCCTTCAGTACCTCTATGAGTTCATCGACATCCTGTATGTCCCCTGGAATGTCTGACAAGGCGTTGAAGATGGCTGCTGAGTTCTCCAGCTCACACAGCTCCTCTTCCTGCAGGTGGGAAGGGCAGGGAAGGGTCAGAGTGATATGGATCATGACAAGACTGTCAGCAATCTGTCATGCTCATGTTGGTGTGTATTGAAAACGTTCTGATATAAGGAGAAAACAATATTTTCCATGAAAGACTGTTTCCATACATGTAGCTGTAATCTCATCATCATCTAGTTACCAAAACTTTAACATGGAGAGCAGACCAAGAGTTCACTAGCCTTCATTTTCAGCATGCCCAGGGTGATCTTGAAGAGAATGATGGAGCCCTCGTAGAAGAAGAGATCCCAGAGGCGCAACAAGAGCTTGATGTGCACCACGCTGGCAAAGGCTGTCAGGAACCAGTGGAGCGTGATCAGGGACAGCTCTGTAGCATATGGGAGGAAACATAACGGTTAGAGACATGTGTAAATCTATATAACAAAGAAAGGCCATTTCATTATGAACAGTTCACATTTTGTGAAGAGATGGACCACTCACCTATGTCATGTTCCTTCAACACTCCATCCAGCTTAGGCAGGTAGCTTACAATCAGCTGTCTCAGTACACGTTGGTCTGCCTGTAACAACAAGTGGTACATTGATGGGTTAATACTCCAATACCTGAGGGAGCTTCTTAGATGTTGAGCTGGCAAAAATTTTTTAAGGAAGGCAAGAAAAATTTGGTCTTTAAGTCCAAGGATTCCAGTCTTTGAATGACATGTCAAGAATGCTGGTTACCTGTACACCGATGAGGGATGAAGAGAAGTAGGATGCAGGAACCAGGTCCTCCACAATCGCACACATCATCCAGAATGCTTCCTCCTCCTCCATAAACAGCAGCAGACATGCAGCAATCTACAGGGATTGTGGAGAAGTCTTTCATGAGCCCATAGCAAGGGGCTGGCCGACTTACAATTAAAAAAACACCTTTCAAACAAAAATCAATGTTTGCTTATCATTTATGAGTACACATAACCGTATAGCTGTCATAAAGATAAAGAAGTAAGCCTGTAATAAGTAATTCTGTAATTCCTGAAGTAAGCCTGTAATTCCTGTTAGTAAAGCCATGGACAGGTAGCTGATTCCATACCATGCCAGTGCCCTGGCAGTAGCCGATGTCAGGGTACAGCCAGGCCAGGCCCCGCAGTATCCTCCTCAGCCGGGGGATGCCTGTACTGCCCTTGTCTGAGAAGCAGGCGTTACTTGGCATGGTCCTCAGGAGGTCCTAGGGGGTACAGACAAGATACCATCATTCTAATTACATTGTATGTAGATGAGATTCAATATTGTTAAAAGCCCCATTTCAAAACTTTTGGTCTATTTTGAATTGAAAACTTTACAATACAAAGTTTACTTTACAATATCAAAGACATGACAAGGCATAACAGTTTACCTTCTCTATCTGCTTGGCTGTCAGGGAGTTGTCATCTGAACTAGCCTTTACGATGTCCTGAAACAAAAAAAGCACCAAGAAGTTTAATTGTACAGTAAAAATGAGTTATATGACCAGGTTCTAATCATAAAGTAAAGCAGTGTCTTCACACTTGATTTCCTAAAAAAGGCCAAACAACAAATTAAATCTTTGACAGCCATTACCTTATATGATGTCTCACTTCCCACTTTCTTCTGCAGAGCTCCAGACAGTCTGAGCCACAGCTGCAGAAAGAAGTATTTCCCATTAGGACACCTTTTGACATTTTACACATGTCTGCCTCTCATTACTATATATATATTCTCCACATGACTGCTAGGAAAATATGTCATTCAAATGGAATTCACGTCAGTTTCTAGCCTTTTCCAGTGATATATCCTTACTACCCATTACTTGACATTTAAAGTAGCAAGAAGGTCAGCCCTTGTTTTCAGCACTTCTATGCAAATTTACAAGAAGCACATAAAAACCTGGTGCCATATGACTCTCTGGTGCCTTTACTCTTACTCACTCACTCACTTTAAAGAGCAAAATGTCTAGAAAGACAATCACTAACATCAACATCTAAAAATACATCAATCTCTGAATCAAAGATCATGAGAGCAACAGGCTTTAATAATAAGCCTGCAATGACGTGCCTGTTTAAGGTAGCTCACATGGCAACAAGGCTGAAAATGTCTCTCAAGAATTTAAGAGCAACGATCAAGCGGTAATTGCTTCTTAGACAGCTTTTATATTTAGCATTCTCTTCATGTATCCATGTATCCCAGGTGTGTTGCTTAATGGTAAAAGAATTGCATGGCAACAGCAAATACAAGCACAATGGGCCTCATTATATTATACTGCCCTCATTTATTTCTAAAGGTTGAAATGCTCATGAGACAATTAGTCACATTAGTATTCATTCTATGCTGGACTGATTCTAGGAACAAAAATCAAAAGACTGCTCAAAATGTTGGTATAGCAATTACATGTATCTGAACACTATACATCATGTATCCATAGCTCATACAAGCAGTGTTATATCTCCTTGATGTGTCAATGTACATGTACTGTTTCATTATGCAGTAGATGTACTGCATGGCAACAGGAATATCATTGACTGCTTGTGGTAATGAATATCAGTGTTCTGTTACCATATATGTACCTACATAGAAAGAAGCTGATAGCTGATAATGTCATCTCCCAACTTCATCTGGTGCTAAGATATACAAAGTTTCTATACATTTCAATGTCATCTGCTAAAATTTTCTTGACAAACAAAAGGCTAAGACTGACAGTCATGAGACAAGATCCTATTGCTTTTTTTGTTGAATCCTGATTTTTTAAAACTTACATTTAAGCACAGTAGAGTAGCTGTTTGGCTACGAATTCTCTATTGGTTATGGGTTAGGCCACAGGGAGAATATTACAGAACCATTACTGTAACAATAATGTGTCAGTGACAGAATGAATGGTTGGACATGCCTCTTGACATCTCAATGAAGTGTTCCACCATAAAGGCTGCTCATCTTTTAACTCAACTCCTCAGCACCTCACCTGTTCCCTCATGCTGTGGGGAATGCCTGACATGACCAGCTGGTTTAGCTTCTCAGACTTCTGCAGCGTGGCCTCGATCTTGTCCCATGTCAGGTCGCCGACCTCGTGGTTATGTGTGAACTCCAGGTACGCCTGCCACTTCAGCCTGTTCTGGGGGTCCTCCGTTAGCGGGGTGCTCAGTAACTTGTTGGACATGGGCTCTGCAGCATCTGTGGTGCCAGGACATATTCATTACTACTACATTGTACTGGTAATCTGACTGGTACTTTGACTATCCAACCTGTTTACTTGTTACTGCTAGACAGGATACAATGCCCCAGAAGATTTTCCCCATCAGATTTATTTATATCAAGGAGGTTCAAACTTTTTGGACCTCCTTGTTTATACTAATGAGATACCTAAAAAAAAAACGTAAAGATGACTTAAATCTCTCACCTTCTTCCTCTACACGGAAGCCAAACTCATCATATCTGAACTCAGGCTGGCCTTCGGAGTCTTCGGTCTGCATAACAAAACATTATGTACTTGTAAGTGAATATATAGACATGCTCTCAATAGACTTGGCTTACCCGACAGACCACATTTTAGAAAAGATATCAGTACATGTATATTACACCACATTCTAATTTTAGTGTAAGCTAACTACAATGTACTTGGAAAGTAGAGGGCTATATTTAGACTGGTTAAATTTTGACAACAGCCTGGTTTTATAGGCAGCCCATAAACCATTATGACTTTAAGTTTACCTGAGCTATCTTGGCCAGTATGTCCTGTGGCCACATGCTGGGTGTTAAGGCAGAGAATGGCCCCCCAGGTGACGGGCTGTAGTTTCCTGATGGAGAACTGAGAAACCCCAGCAGAGATGTGGCCGCCACAGACACACCCTCTCCACTGCCATGGTCTGATGGTCCTGACGTCTCATCTTCTTCTTCTGTCAGTGACTCAGCTATGGAGAGTGCCATAGAAGTTACAAATCTAACAGACATGTAAGTTAATCCATTCATTTATGCATTGACAACTGTAATTTAAAAGTACATAAGGAATGTCATGGTCATGCACAATCTGTAAGAGCTATTGCAGCTAGATGAATGGTGAATATCTGAAAAGAAAACAGACCACATTCTGGTCAGTGTCAATGTGACATTCTCATTTCTTATCTAATATTATTATTAAATAAAAACATTATGAGCAATCTTTGGTGGGTGCCATATAAGTGCAGGTAGAAAAAGGACATCTTACTGCTTGTTTCAAGATGGTTTAAACAACATGCTCCAATAACCAAGGAGGTTTAAAATCAAATTTAACTGCTATGACAGTTAGTTGCATGAAATGGTTCTGTTAGAAAACAAAACTCACATCTTTTTCCAGTTTTTCTGCCATGTTTCCAACCTTGGTCAGCATTAGAAGTTAGTATTGTAAGTAAACATTGGTATCTTTCTACATGTAATTGATGTGCAAATTCATATATTCTTATCCGGGCAAATAATTTTCCCTGCAAACTATCAAGTAAAAATTGTATTCCCCATGCAATATTGTTTTATTACCTTGACACATACTGCAATGCAGCATGACCTTTCAGGTCCCTCCCTTATCAAAGCATAGCGACACCCTTTCACACACAGCCATCAATAAGTAAAATGCAATCTAGGTTGTCTTAACCACAGGTCCACTGATATTCACAGATTGAAGTTAAGATTGCATGAGTTTGAATGTGAAGGATATCAAGATAAAAGCAAGTTAGTATATACCAGGTACATATTCCATCATCTCAAACACATACCAACGTATTCAACTTGTAAGTAGTTCATTAATCATGCACCTTACTTTAATGGGTAATAAAGCCATGGACAATTTACTAAAAGCAAGCGTCACTGATACGTCTTTCAACTTAATCAAACATCCTATCACTGAAGGGTCTTTTGTCCTTCAGCTTTGTGATGAACAAAGGAATGTTGGCTGCGGTGCAACACAAGTATTTGATGCAGCGAATGACAAACAGAAGTTAACCACACTCATTATGAGGAATAAGATGTCTCCGTTACTAAGTTGGTTTGTACATCGACCTTGCAATTAAGATAATGCTGCAGCTTTGTATGACAAATCAGAGCTGGAGTTTACCTCATGCTGTGATAGAAGTTAAAGTAATAAATAGCAAACAGCAAGTCAAAGTTTGCAAAGTCAAATTGTTCAAAAAGTTTAACTCTTCTGTGGTAAACTATAACCAACACAAAGCTGCAAATGTAATTACTCTACCAAAGGTGGTGGCTATTGAAATAGCTTCAGCATAACAATGAAGCCTATAGCCAACAATGCAATATCACAATGCAATATATTATCAGTAACTAAGCTAATGTTCAGTGAAACGTGTTTGTAATACAGTTACACCTTGCACTTGTTCAGAAAACATGAGGTGTTGGTTCACTAGCTGTGAATGGAGTGTCATTTGCCAACTTTGAGAGTACAGGTGGTTGTCAACTTGGAAATTTAAGCCCACCAGAGTCACGGGCCAATTACAATGCCCTGTTTGCATCAACTAACTTTCGTGATGCACATTCTATCTAGATTCTTTCTATACACATTGTTTTCGATACAGTGACGTTGACACCCTATTTTGTTTTGCCAAGTGGTTATACCAGTTGAATACAAATTAGCAAGTTGTGAAGTGTGAAGTGGGTTGTCTCGGCTCAAGTACATCATTCACACCATAACACAGGTTATGAACGTAACAATTGTTACTAATCTACATATTTACTCTAATCAATGATAATATTTTGCACAGGTACAACAGTTACACCCTGCACCAAGTCTGCCAGATTTATCTGTAACCTGCAACACAATTAACGTTACGCCCACATAATGGCTTTAGTTGGCTAACTCTTATGTAACTTCTTCTTCTCTTCTTTTGTCAAGCTCAACTGAGGCGAAGAATGATGCTTTGTCAATAACACAGGTGTTTTGTTACCTGTTAGTTTGTCTTATGTATCTTTTTCATTGAAAGCTCAGTGTAACTGATAAATGGCACGCATTTGGGACATTTCTTAAGTTACATATGTAGCAATCGGAAGTAGTGTGCAAAGAAATAGGACATTAAACACCTGTCAGTTCCCATGGGAAATTACCTTGACCACATTCAGAGTAAACGCCCCCCTCCCCACAGTTCTGGGAGGTGCCCATTTCCAAACCTGAACGTGGCATTTAAATGCAGTGCAAACACAATGTTAGGTACGGTAATAATTTGTGGATACCAAAGTTAAAGCGGAAACGGTTGCAGTGAAGAGATCGGAGCGGAGTTTAAGTGCCGGCCATGTTTTTAATATCATGTTTTAAAAACGCGTCTTCTCCCTTTACTAGTTACTTCACGTACCGCACACCTCGGCACCAAATGGCGAACCATACGGAACACACTATGGTATTCTCCGCACATGACACCTGTTATTCTCACAAGTATGGCATCTGTGGTAAACAGGGTAGCTAAATCACTCTCAGCTGCAGGACCTGAGTTTATCTGGGCAGGACACGTCAAGCGAAACACTTGCCAAACCGGGTTAACTCTGACAACACCCAGGGATTCAACTTACCCTGATAGCCTCTCCCGCCGTAACCCTCTGCTGTTGGATCGCTAAACATCCCGCCTGCGATCTCCTGCCGATCTTAAGTTCACTAAGAGGCTAAGAAAATAAAGGGAAAGTGATTCCGCCAGGCTCACAGCGGCGACCTTCCGACAACCTGCTTCGTTGTTTACCCGTTTGAGTACAGACATGTGTATCCCTCCGCAGCGTCCTCGTTATGGAGCCTTATTTCCCCCGATATTGGAAACAATAGGCATTACCTGGCAACGTAGTGTCTTATCGTGATCCTAATGACGCCTTAGATCGATAGACAATTGACTATAATTTTAATCTGTGGTTTGAATGGGAACTACATTGTTTACGTGTCACTGCAAATTCAGTGCTGCGGTCCTTCCCTACGTCACGACAAAAATTCTACGTCCGGGTCGCGTGACGTCATCACATTAAATAAATATCACCTTTCGCTCCACCTGCCGCGCACGCCTTCGCGCTGTCAATACTAGTATTTATGTTCAGCCGGCCCAAGTCATGATCGGAGGAATGGAAACGTTGGTGCAGGCTGTGCACGATGCGCGCCAGCCGAAGGACTTTTAGCCGGGCTTAATCAATATTTCCACCGTCCAAATTTAGTGGGTCAGCTACTCCCATCGCACAGCGGCCAGGGGGAATCATCCCGCGGTTGGATTTGCATTGCAAATCTCAGTCTCATCTCGTTTTCTGTGTGGGGGAGTAGGTGGGGTGCCTCTGCCATGGGCCAAGTCCGTTCGCGGCTCAAAAAGATGGGAGCCGGGGTGTCGGCGGTGGAGAGCTTCACGGACCTGCAGAGGCGCGCGTCCGAGTCCGACGACGAGAGCGAGGACTTCACGGTGAAGCACCTGTTCCAGGCCGCCGAGAGGGGCGACCTGCGCACCATGAAGAGGATCGTGGAGGAGAACAGAATCCCCATCGGTAAGTGAAGGGAAATACGCGTAGTAAAAGGTAAAAATCACTGTCAACGTTTTTACCAATTTGTATAACTTGCGATCAGCTATCATCAAGCTAGTGGTGATAACGGTTTAATACATGCACCACCTGCTAGACCGATTTACACGCGCGGGAAAATTTGGACGTACTCAGTTTTCGTACGCTCGGGTTCGTACACAATTTTCGTACGTCTGGATTTTGCCCGCGTATAACCCGGGTCTAACTTTGACCCAAGAAGAGAAGAAAGTCTGGCATGATGGTCCCCATCCTTTGCCTGAGGTTATCTTTTCGGGTCTTTGTGTAATGTCTGGATGTTTGTGAACAGCATATAACACTACTCAAGAAGTTGTGGGTGGTGTATTGATAATGTTAAGGTGTTAGCAAAATGAATTTAAAACAAGAAGCCATAGGCGACAATTCTCCGTGAAGTATTATATATTGCAACAAAAAGAAGTAGCCATTGGCGACAATTCTCTGTGAAGTGTGATAAATCGAACAAAGAAAAATTGTTTAAACGCGCGTCGGCTCAGTCATCTTAAGACGCAACAACCAATCAGAGATGCGAGATGCCTACACGTGACGCGGGAAGGGCGCGCGATGCCCGAAATATTTTTGCGTCAATATTCAGCGCCGTGATTCAAGAGATTAATACCCGGAAACAATTTATTTCTTGTTTTGAACGCATTAACATGCATTTACGCTAATCTAGTATGATTCAGGGTTACTTTTTTTTTAACCTGCCATGGCCAGATTATCTAAAGATGTGTGTATTGTGTGTACAATCTATAGAAAGAGAAATGTACATCAGGTCCGATCATCCGATTTTCACGTTTCGGTTTTTTGGACTCGGTTCATGAACGTATTTTGGTTTGGCTCCTGGAATGTGCAAAAAAATGACTCCCGGGACTGTCTACAGGGAACACTCGCACATTCGCGGTGTATCAGGACAGCGCGACTGGTCGTCATTAGCGCAGTAACAGTTGCATAAACGGACGAAACCATTTCAAAGAAATGGGGATGTTTCGAAAATAAGCATTTACTCCAATATCAAAACAGCTACGGTAAAAATAAAAAGACGTGCATCATCCCGGACATAATGCAACACCACATGCGAAATTACACAGAAATGCGACGTACGGAAGAATGCGTTTTGGCTGCGAACATCTTCCAAAAAACTTGGCATCTCTTAACCATGGGCAAAAACATCTGGAACCACTTATAAAAACCACCCCGTATCTGCATGAACTTTTTTGAACCCCACTGCTATTCCAAACAACGCGTTTTTCTGGACCATTCCAATTCGCCTCGTAATTGTAGGGGTGCGTCTGCGATATTACATTGACCGCGAAAGCAGCAACGGCAAAAATACACATTCGTGCATCAACACGGGCATGCCCGCAGACGGCGTATAAAATTGCGTGCCGATTACACAAAGAGAACCCAGTGTTTTGACTGCGAACATGAAAAATCAGCCGATTACAACACTCCGTCCGGAGGTCCTGACCTCCTTCACGGAGTAAAAAATTATTAGATTATAGACCCCTTATGGCTTTCTAGTGTACTGCAGCAGGACTTCCTGTATTGTTGTTTTGTGTTCTGGACATACTATGGTTATGATTTTTCAAAGGTAGATCACTACTGGGCTTGTGAAGAAGTGCCATAGGTTTGATAATGTATTGTATTTCCAGAAGGAATCATATGTCTTCACATCAGGGGCCTTTAAGGCATTTCATTTTCAGCAAGGAGCATCAAAATCTTGGCAACAGCAATGCCTGCGAAATGGATGGCAGCCAAGCTAGATTTCTCCTGTTACATTACATAATTTTTGTCCTACCGTAAGCCACCAAGAATGAAACACTACAAAGCCACTTTAGCAGCAGCCCACTTGAGTTGACTCTGGGTTTGGAGACGAAGATTACTGCTGCAACATCAGGCAATCATGATAAAACCAGGTCAACCACACCTGGGGCTTTTGGAAACAGAATAAAGCTTCCAACTGCCATACATAAAACATTTCCAATTCAGTGACCCCCAGATACGGAGAAATGCAAGATGGAGGGAATACAGAAAGAAGTAAAATGGGATTGGAGGACTTTGACAAAAAACGGTATTGCCTAAATTATATAGATGGGGAATACAGAGAAATTCAAGAGAATACAAGAAATGAACTGGTTTAGAGGACTTTTGTGAAGGACAAAAAAGGTGTCACCTAAATTATAAGCTGACTGAACTGAGCTCAAAGTCTATCCTTATCAGCCTTGCGACAACTGGAGATCACATAAACATAACCACCTGTTGGAATGTCAGAGCTTCATAAACAGCAGGGGAAGTTGTAATAAAATACATTGCAGCATTAATAGTTATTAGGGTTTCTAAATAATTCCTAAGATTTCTTTGATCAAGTTATTTCCAGATGTAATTTGCCATGGCTGTGAAATATATATCAAAACTTCCTCCCTTTATTCTGACATGTTTTACAGTGTAATCACATTTGCTGTACTGTTGTGATGAAGTGGAATTTTCAAGCAGGCTGTCACAGAACTGATCACCGATAACTATCTAAGGCAGCATTTTCCATAACAAGACAGCTTAATTTTGCTGGACACATCAATGACTATTCCAAAAATGCCTTCAGGTTGTGATTGTACCACAATTGTATGACGTATATAACCAGGCCCTTATCAAAGGCTGTGAAAAGGAAATGTGTACCTTGATGCCCTTTTAGTTATATGCTGCCATATTCAATTGCTAATGCATGTACAGGACATTGGATGTATGGGACAATTTGTTCCCCCTGCCCCAGTTCTCCACTAGAACAACCCATAATTACAGTTCCATGGGGCCTTGTAGCAAAAATCTATTCTTACATTTTTTATGCAGCGGACACTTTGTAGATGATTGCATTCTGAACACCACTTCCCCCAGGCTTTGGTGAAAAGGCTGGGGTTGGCAAGGTTCTTGTTACCAGTGGCAGTTGGGATGCTAAAATTGATGGCTCCTGGTCAGGATGGGTCCACCCAGGGGTTTTCTAGTTTGAAGGGGAATCTTGGAATGCATGAGATAAAAAGGCAACATTATCAGTCAAGCAACTTCAAGACTACAATGTACTTTCATTTATGCATGGTTGTATGTTGACTCATTAGAGTGCTAGGTATATAAGGTATAATTTTTATAATGTACAGTTCTAGTACCTTAAACTATGGTCTGCCACATATTTTTTGCATGTGTGAACAAACACCATAATGCAGTTTGATTGCTTGTTTGATGGATTATTTGATCAAAACAAAGACATTACCCTCTATATAATGTCGATCTTTGGTCAAAAATATAGGGGTGGGTGAAAGGGATGAAAAATAATCAAATACTGACCTACTCCATCAAAACACCCAATGCTGGGGTAAGAAGGGATACTAATGTTCCTTGGCATGGTTGGCATGGTTGCAAGCCCTATTAAAGGTAGAGTCAGGGGATTTTTAAAGCTATAAATGCAATGATTAAGACTGCTAGATATTGCTGTCTTGGTCTGGTAAAGGGGATCCTGGAACCAGTCCTCATGACTGTCTGCTGCCAACATCTTAAGAGAAAAGACAGAAATCCAATGTCTGAAATTACTGTCAAAATATGTGCCTCAAACACTGTTGATACTATAATCACCATATCAATAAATCACATACACAGGCAAACAATACACTAGGGGTATAGCAGGGGACTGGAATATTCCAAATTAAAATTCTAATTGCAATTATGATTATGATCACAAAAATCCTGATCAGGCCCCAAATTACAAGCTCAGGTAATCTAAACATTAGACATTATGTTGAAACCTCTTTAATGTGATATCCTTAAGGTAACAGAGCCTACGGACTGTCAAAAGCTGTGGTATAACTTAAACATCATCAATTCTCAAATGGGACCTGGTTGTTTTCAAAGTCAAAGAGAGACAAACAATCATAGATATCCTAGCAGCGCTGCCTGTCAAACTTCACAAATAGCAACAGAAAAATGCAAAAGCCTGTCATCCAATGTTGAATGTCCAACCATGTTGACATCTGCAGCTCATGTTGACCATATTGATCATGTTGACATCTCAGGTAAATTATCAACATTATTGCACATAGTCTGATGATTACACTGCACACGTTGACTTGCTAATGTCCTTGTTTATTATTTTGTACGTTTTCTGTTATCTGTATCTGTATAGTCGGTATAACCGCCTTTCGGCAGAACACACCACCTTGTCCACACTGCTGCTCACTATGTCATTGGTGACGCTGCAAGAATATTCAATGAGAGACCATTGTGCATGTGTGCAGTGTTGTGTGGAATATGTGTGTGCGTGTGTCCACGATACGAATATCTGAAAATGGTCTTGTCTCTGACAAGGCCCTCAGACAGTGATAAATGTACATGTGCTATCCCAGTTTATTGCATAATATGCTATTGACTGAGCATTCTTATCATTTGAACATTACAAGTTAAATGTACATGATGATATGCTTTATTCCACAATTGGTATATGATATACCAATATCAGTATAAGCGTGACTTCATAATGTATCCTATGTCAAATATCTTTGTGTTTGCGAGATTGGGACTTAACGCAAGCTCAGCAGTAACAGCTAGATATGTTCCATGATCTTGACAATGTGGGATACAGTTGCTAGCTGCAGATAAAATCTGTTTTCCACTTTAGTGGCTTGAAAGCAGTTAGTTTTGCATATTTGAGTCCCATTCCTTTGCTTCATCTTGATTGAAATCTTGGGTGCCTGTTCTGATGTATTTTACCCTAGATGTTTCATGGCCTCAGTTTCTCTGCATCACAAGTTCCAGATAAGATAATTAGCTATGGTACCTTACAGTCTGCTTAAAATTCACACTCAGAAATATCTTTCAATAGATATCTTTCTATGTACCTGAATAATAATAATGCACTGTTACAGTTATCACAAACTTTACATTGTGTGGTTCATGTAGTGTCATATTCTTGGTCAAGATAAGTCATTTTAGGCTGTATAACATTATAGCTTGAAAACCATTATGGTTGACAGAGTAAGTAAGGAAGTAGTAAACTTGCCTATACTGTCTGGTAGATGTACCCAGTTTCCGTACTCAATGAAATAAAGCATTGCAATTGCTAGACACACAGTATTCTAATGAGCTAACATTTGCACATTCTGCTGTTTCCTTATATTGCAGATATAACAGACAACAGTGCGTGTACCCCGCTGTTCATGGCTGCTAAGGATGGCCACCATGAATGTGTCTCTCTGCTGCTGAGGCAGGGGGCTCTGGCAGATGGCCTCCGAGATGTGAGTTCCTCATGGACCCCCCTGTGGATTGCATCTTGTGGTGGACATACAGAATGTGTCAGGTCTGTGGGAGGTTCTGTTTTGTATGTAGAAACTAGAATGTTACCATGTGAGCATTTTCTCCTGATAGCTGGACATGCTGAGTAAGAGGGTTGCACTAGTTTGTGAGATGTATTAGCCATATGCTGCCCTACAGGATCAACCCACAGGTGTCACAGGCCAATATTAGCAGCTTAGGGCCTGTTAGCTAAATGTCAGGGACATCTAGGGCAGGCTCTACCTTTACATGCACTTACAGTATATATGCAAATTTACCTGACATTTTAGCACATGCTCAAGACACCTGGATGGCTATAATATCATAGTGGTGCTAGCCTTGGTGCTGAAAAGGATATCTGATAAACTTCATGCTTTAATTTCTGCAGAGCACATTATAACTGTGCTGAGCAAAAACTCAAAGCTACTGTTGGCTCTTGTGCATGACTTACAGATCCCTCTAGTGAATTGGGACTACTTAAAGTTGCTACAATAAAAGGCTGAAACCTGTTACATGGATATTTTTGGCATATTCTATGTCCAATTATTGCCTGCCTCGAGTGACAAATGCACTGTCAGGAGCATGAAATAGGAACATGCCAGTAGGATTTAAGATATGAGGGAATGGATGTCATAATTGGTGCAGGGATCTGCATGTGAAAAGTCTGTTGTGACTATTTCTGTCTCTGCGGGTGGTTAGAGGCACAGCACGGCTGTCAGATGAGTAATGATACCCTCGAGCCATGCTGGAGTTAATGTTACTTGCAATGAAAAGGAAAGTATAATGCCATGTGGGATGTATTTAACATATACATACCACTGGAATGTTTTCCATTGTCCCTCTGTATTAAATTTAGATCTGTCAAAGCCAGATGATTCTTTGATGATTACTACTATGACAAAATATATAGAATATGCAGGAAAGCAATGTCAGACAATGTAAGAATGATGATACATCTGGGCAGAAACCATTATATATAGGAAACAGGAAATGGTACCAGGAGAGTAATAACACACTAGGTTGCTGTGCATTAACCAATCAGCGTTTTCCTGTCTATAGAACCTTAGGGTAGAGATTATGATAGGAACCAGGCCTAGTCATAATTTCTGTAAGTAGGGATTAGATTGCTGGTTCCTTATGCAAAATGAAATGTCAGACAGTTATTTTTTGTACCACATATTCTCCATGTTCTTGTACTTCATCACTGACAGATGATATTTGGTGCCCAGCAAAGAGAAAAATGTCAGCTTAGTACATGTGTACTACATGTAGAAGCGGGTTGAGGCTCAGCAAGGATGTTTTGGCTTTCTGCAGTTGACAAAAATGTGGCATATGTTTAGCCTGTTTATTATAAACTAAACCATGCAAAGTCTTTGCATTTTTGTCTCATCAGTTAACCCGATTAAAGCAAATATTCCTGTTTCATTTCAGACTTCTAATAGATGCAGGTGCCAACCTAGAGTGCAAGTACCCAGAGACACCGCTGTATGTGGCAACCAGGGAGGGCCACGCCCCTGTTGTGAAGCTTCTCCTACAGGCTGGAGCACTAACAGAATTTTCTGGAATTCCCCACCATTCTCTGATCGAAGCGGCCATGCATGGCCATAGGGACTATCTGGAGTGCATCCATCTGATTGCCTTGTCGGGATGTGACTTAGATGAACCTGTTAACCAGTACCAGCAGACTGCACTGCACCTCTGCAGTATCAACAAGAACGGAGCCTGCATGAACACGCTGTTGGCACACGGGGCCTCTGTCAACGTAACATCAAACTACTTTCTGGTTGGTGTGACACCGTTACACTTGGCCACCAAGTCAGGATGTGAACACTTGATCAAGTTGTTGGTCACCCACGGGGCAGACGTGTACCTTACAGATGAGAATGGGCGGAGAGCTTCTGACTGGGCTAACTCTGCCGGCAAAAATACCGGCTGCTATCGGTACCTGAAATATGCAGAAAGTAAGTACCGGTATACCTGTCATCAGACTGAAGGGTATTATGAACATGCACATGTTATGTTAGGTAGTTATTAAACAGCAGAGCTATACTGTTGTACAAAGTGTTTTACTTCCAGAAAAGAAATATTTGGTGTATGTTCCCTTTGTACTCGTCCTGAGAATTGAGGCAGGTAGACAGGTTCTCCTAGCACACACAGCTTAAATTTTAGATATTCACTGAAAGAAACATTAGGTGACTCACATTCCTCCCTTGCATAGGCCAAAACCTTGGGTCACCTTTGGTTGGCAAACACCCAACAGTGGGCAAGTAACTATGGTCTCCATGTGCATGGTACCTACTCCTGGGGGGATTGTAATTCAGTGGTATTCAGCAATTGGGGCTTTGAGCAAGCAGGGTGGACTACCTATGCAAGCTAAATGTGGTTGGTTATGGCATATTTAGAAGATTTCTAGTGGCTTTTATGGATACCTGAATTTGCCCCTGGTGGTCTAATGTGAAATGGATGCAAATTGTAGAAGAAACTGGGTACTTGTGGGGGTATTACATGTTAGACCAAACCTTTTTATGGCCCAATCTGGATAATTCATCATGCCCGTATGGATTGATATAAGGATCATAATATTAAGTCTTTGCCTTTCAAAGGATCCTCTTACAATGTACATGTACAGTAGGAAGAAAAATAGTAAATATTTGAGTATGCCAAGCACATTCACATCATTTGGTGCGGATCCAGATGCTATCATTCAAATGTGCATGCTGCTGGCCAATTCGTGACAAATTGCTGGGTTATACGCAACAGACAAGGAAACTTCTGGCCATAGATCTGTTAATACACCAAAATTGTAGTGTGTCATATTCAATTTAATTCGCCTAGAAATCTAGAATGTACACTTATTATCAATGTAGAGCAAACCTTTATAGATATGGCCAAATTACATTAATAGTTTATGCAACCCACCATCTTGACGACACCATAATACAGTACAGATATTATCTGCAGCCTGCTACTGGTATTCTTGATATTGTCTAACCATTCCCTATACACGACAGATTGACAGTGTGATAAATTTTGTGAGGACTTGTTAGATCTGTCTTCATTAATATGTACTTAATATGAACCATATTTACAGATGACCCAATCCCCTAATTTGTGCCTTCCGTTGTACATGTAGTTAGGCCACACCAATTTAATTTGTTGGTTCTCGGATTCGCCTCTTCGTTTTTTTCTGATTTGCAAAAAAAAAATTTGATTCTGGTCCTGAATCAACTGAAAAATGCTCATGTTTTGCCCCCAACAGTTGAGGGAAGTCCTTTTCTTCCTAGTTGTTACAGTTTTCCCATCTATCATTGCAGTGGTTTGATTAAAAGTTCAAAATTCAATGTTTAAATTTTAACCCAGCCTTTTGTGTTGACTTCATGGCTCATTTTGTAGCATTTAAGCCTATAATAGGATGCCTAGACCTGTTTTTATTTTTATTTTTTTTCGCCCTGTCGCTTCACATTTTTTCTGAAAAAATCCGAGAACCAACAAATTAAATTGGTGTGGCCAAAGATTTTGATTTTATTCTGGAATTATATATAAAATATTGCTTGGAATTATTCTCATAATCACCATTTGAAGTCTGTCAGACTTCCATTGCACAGTTGTAGTAGATAATGAACCCATCATTGCTGCTTGCCAAGAATGTTATAATATGCAAAATGGACTGCAGGTGTGTCGGAGCTACTATGTATGCTGCATGCATCTCACCGTTCAAGCATGACATTTTCTAGACATGTTTTCCAGTCTCTAAGGATTCTTCAATTTCAATTCACTCAATCAATGCTGCTTCACGAACCTGGGCTTCCATTTTTCGTGTGGACAACATTAACTCAGTAGTCTTGTAACCTTTGATAACCTACTGCCAAGGGCATTTAGAGGACGTTGAATCTAAAATCTTTAAACTTACCCACTGTTTCACTTTTTTTGTAACGTCTCAATTATGGATTGATAAGCATTCTCCCCTCGTCCTCCCCAGGTAACCCCCGACCCCTGGTGTACCTGGCCAGGTGGGCAGTGCGGAAGACGCTGGGCAGGAAAAGACTGCAGCACATCAACAACCTGGCTGTCCCACCTAACCTGGTCAGCTTCCTCTGGTACAAAACCAACTAGTGAGGGAGGCAGCCATCTTTGATAGGACATTTTCTGGCCTCAAAGGCTGCTGGAAGATAATATTGATATCATGGTCTAATCAAGTTTGGGAATACAACATGAGCTTATTGAGTGTGTCAAGTACTTTTGTGTATGCAACAGGGAAGAGAGATTGGCTCTTTCAGTGGCTATTATCCAAGACTTCATTCTTCTTTTGTATAGCTTTGAGAACAACAGAAATAGATAGATGCTGGTAGTTTGAACCAATTTGTCTGAAATTTTCAATACAAGAAATTGTATCGTGATAAACATATGCTTGAATAATAGAACAACGGCCACAACCTGTTAGTTATCTGTGCAAAACAATCCTCAGCTGGCATCTTCCAGAATAACGATCACATCAAATGTAGGTGCTGTTCCGAATATAACATTATGTGTAGATTTTCTAAATTGATGTCTCCAGTTGCATTTTGATGATTCAGAATGATGTAATGGTTACTGAGAGAGAGAATGATCATGGTGATCAGACAAATTTCATGTGTTGATTTTATCTTGAGTAGATGCCACTGACTTGATTAGACTTGTGAGAACATTAGGAACATGTGATGTTCAGCTCACTGAGTAGAGTTGTTGAATATTTCGTACACAAATCGAAAGTATCTTTGATCTGCTGTATCATTCAATCTTACATTACTATCCTGTAAATGATGATGATGAATATTGTTGCATTAGCCAGACCTGTATTAAAGGAAGCCATGTTAAAGCTGATGTGCCAAGATGGAACTTGAATGCTAGAAATTAAATAAAAACAAGTCAGCCTGCATATGGTATGACAAGTGATCACACAAATTTGCATACTACTTCCTTTGATCACCAACTGGCCTTGGTTGCTGTTCAATGTTTGTAGGATTGAAAGATGCAGCCATGTATAATGAGCAGTGTAATCATGTGATGGATTGGTCAACAAGCATGTTTCATGTTCGTAGTTGCTGTGCTGGGCCATATGGCAAATATGCAAAACCCTTTTGATCAGTGTCAGGTCATAAATTATTTAAAATGGATTTTTTTTCAGCTGCCTCATATTATGTATGTCTGTATTTTTCTTCTTTTTGAGAATGTTTCTAAATCCTTCTTGACCCATCCCCAAAGGATGATTATGAGCGGCTGTCAGCAAGTTCTCTACAGTCACTGTCATAGCATGGTATGCAATCTAAATAAAACTGTGTCATACTACATGTATATCAAGCACACCTATTTTGCCATCACATCCATTGTATGGGGAATTCACATAAACACTCTTTCACATGCACTGTCTCTTGATTCAAGACCTGCTTACCTACATTGTATGTCAAATGTGAGGCAGTATTTGAAATGTTTACTGAGAACATCAGTGAAATGTTGATTGTTATATATGTTAGTTAGCCTATGTAGTTCCTCCTAAAGGTAGGGCTGCAAGAGGCATGGTGTGGTCAGGCTAATTTGCTTGTGTGATAGAAGTACACCTGAATTTTTATTCCTGATGGGAATGACCATATTTTAGTACACACTGCTAGGCAATGTGGTAAGCTTGCTTTTTAATCATAACTGAGGTGCATGTATAACATCAAAATAAAATAACATGTTATCGGTAAAAAGTATGAGACCATGACTTTTGAAAATCATAGACATAATGATCATATTTTCTGTCTAATATATATTCTTATGTGCTAATTCACAATGCGATTAAGATGTGAAGTTAGTAGTATGAATGCATGCATCATGCTTTGAGTATTGACGGCTCTCCTCAGTAAGTGAATAACAGATACAACCGACTTTTCACAGAAATTACTTTTCTCTGACTTATGTGTGAGTAAAGCAAGTGACAGAACTTTTTCTTGAAGACTGCTTGTGGAGCTTTTTGATGAAATGATATGGAGTAACACAAACTTCTGTGTGTGTTTGTATTTCATTGCAAGTAACTAGCGTCCTAGATTGGGTGCCATCCTCTGTAATTACCGCCGTCTTTGCCGCTGTGCCATTGGCTGCCATCAGGATACAAAAGCACTGTACCTAGATGTACTTGTAGAATCAATTCATGACAAATGGGTTGCTTCCTGACCTGTACAAGAATGGCTTGATGCAGGTACAAAGTACTTAGTAATTGTTTATACAGTTGCCCATCACAAAAAATTTTCTCAAGATCCATAACTTTGTACTCATTTGACCTTGATATTCTAAGTTAGGCCATGTTGATCTAATTATATGTATGACATCCCTGAGAACCCCAAAACTGATGCGAGTGTGCGAATAAAAAAAAGTTTGGAAAAAAAACCTTCCTTCATTTCTATGTGGTCATCTAGGTTGGACAGACTAAACAGAGTATGGTATATTCATTTCTTTACATTTTCCTGAATTGTTTTCAGCATTCTATGACAATTAAATAGTATCATATTTTTCCAATCCTTTTTTATTCATGCACACGTAGATGGCATCAATATAATAAAATCAACATGGTCTTATCAGAAAAAACATGATTCATGAAAGTGATAATATAGTTCTTTTGGGAAGGTGTGGGTGGCCCTGAAAAGGGCCGGGGTTACTCTTGACCACTGTCTGTTCAATACTCTTGACTTTGACTAGATTTCTTCCCCTTGCCCAACCCCGCAGCTGTCTTCTTGGGCAGAAGCACGGCATGAATGTTAGGGAGAACACCTCCTTGGGCGATGGTCACGCCGGACAGAAGCTTGTTCAACTCCTCATCGTTACGGACGGCCAGCTGAAGGTGGCGGGGGATGATCCTGGTCTTCTTGTTGTCGCGGGCAGCGTTGCCGGCCAACTCAAGGATCTCAGCGGTCAAGTACTCCAGCACGGCGGCCAGGTAGACTGGTGCGCCGGCACCGACACGCTCAGCATAGTTGCCCCTGCGCAGGAAACGATGCACACGGCTGACGGGGAACTGCAAACCTGCCCGAGACGAGCGACTCTTGGACTTCCCCTTGACCTTGCCTCCCTTTCCACGAGCAGACATTTTGGATGTAGCGTTTGCTGGAACAGTGTTCAGAAATAGATATATGGGCTCCAAAATGTATTTATACGAGCCGAGGGGATCCAGTCAGATATCATGTCTGACCAATCAGAAACCAGTAACCATTTATTCACGAATCAGTGCTTGAGTAGTGATGCTGCTTTCTAACACGTCCGTACCAAACAACGCTAGAATCTCAAAATTTGCATAAGTCTGAATATAAATAATGTTCGACCTTCCTTGTACGTCACTACAGCCCTGAAAGCCTGTGCACCTAAATGCCGCCAAAAGGAGGAGGAAAAGCCGCCAAGAAGGCCGGAAAGGCCAGGCCCGCTGGAGCCAAGGGCAAGAGGAGGAGAAGAGGAGGGAGACCTTCAGTGTCTACATTTATAAGGTGCTCAAGCAGGTGCACCCCGACACGGGCGTCTCCAGCAAGGCCATGGGAATCATGAACTCTTTCGTCAACGACATCTTCGAGCGCATCGCCGCCGAAGCCTCTCGCCTCGCTCACTACAACAAGCGCTCCACCATCAGCAGCAGAGAGATTCAGACCGCCGTGCGTCTGCTGCTGCCTGGCGAGCTTGCCAAGCACGCCGTCAGCGAGGGCACCAAGGCCGTCACCAAATACACCAGCTCGAAGTGAACTAACCACCCGACCGTCATTTCATGAATCCCGGCCCTTCTTAGGGCCACCCACATCTTTACGAAAGAACTGTATCTATCAAATGAACGTTACAAAAAGTAAATAAGGATCGGCATATCCTCACGTGCATATTCTCTCGTGCATTATATTATATTACAAGTGTATGTACTAGATTATACAAGAAGAGATGGGTAGCTGTATTGACAAGTTAGGGACGATGCTGTATCTACATGTAATTTGTATCATGATGAAATGAGGTTACCGACATCGGTTTTTGGAAATTTGTCAACGGAAAGTTTATAATAAACAAAATTGAATTAAATTAAATTTAAAAAAATTATGTTTCTACAGAATCGTTTTGCGTAGTCGCAGTTTGAGACTTGCGTAGTCACTGTTTTGAGACTTGCCTAGAATGATACCAACGTTATCGTGGCCACATTACATTGTTTACTCTATATAGTTGATAAATTATGCCTTCAATACTTGTGTCATCGATCCTAGGCCTACTTTTTTCACAAAGGGAACTATATTGTACAATGACCTTACAGTACAAATGTCAACTCCTCTGTTATGTAGCGTCATTGCCAATGAGTGTGTATTTTCTTTAACATATACAAATGTATTTTAGATTATTGCCATCATGTCATTTTAAAAGTGGGTATTCAATGTTTTTAGAATAGACGAAGTAAAGTTAACGTTACCTAACACGTTAACGTTACTGTTGTCAAGACCAAGACACATGTCTGTGAGTTGAATTGAATTGAAAATAAAGAGTTAATTTCTTTGAATAAAGTCGTGATTGAAGAATGCCAACAACTTGTCGGTTGTTTTATTGGGATCTCCATTAACGTTAGTGTTTGTTACATTTACACTTTTCTTATCAAATCTTATCTTTACTGTAACGTTTTTAAGAACCTTTCGACAAATTACTCTTTTAAGATATTTCAATATTTGTAATAATAGTATGGTGTATTTAAGATTTTAAACAATTGTTAAATGTTAAATTTTATCCCTATGTGTGTAAACAGCTGTATAGCCCATTTGTAATCGTAATAATGTTGTATTTTGTAACCAGACCCAACAATTCAGCCGAATGCATCTCGGCTGCCAGTGGGTCCTGGGATTTATTTGTTTATCAACAATAAACCAGTCTATATATATATTCTTCCTGGAGTCCATACCACACAACATACTGCTAGTGTTACTAACTGTTAACGTTACTAGTAACTTTTTTTTAGTATTACAAATCAAATCAAATATTTTGAAAAACTTATACAATTGGTATACGTCATTACATCGTTCTTAATACATTTTCAATCAAGTTGTGTCTTTTACAATCATCTCTGCGTGTCAGAAAAACAGACCAACCTGAAAACGTCAAAACTTAACCACCTAACATCTGCTTGAAGGATCATGGCCCTTTTTTGACCCTTGAACTTCCTCCCCCGTTAGTCAAGCTGATTGGTTTCGTCCAGTCCATAGTAACCGCTTCTGTGATGCGCCAAAAGAATATTCATCCGCCTCGAGACAAATATTAATGTTCCTCATAAAGCGAAAATTCCAACAACTTAAAGTACAGTGAAAAGGGAGACCAGTGCATAAAATCAAGTTAAATGTGCAAACAATATATTCAGCAAAGGTATGGTTGAGCAGAATAATTGCGAGAAATCGGGGACTACTTATGCCACGAGCGTATGAATATATCACAAGAAACTGCGTTATGCGAACCCAAATATTGTCCTCAGCCAAAGAAGACTGAGTTGTGGAAACCACGCGAGCACGACTTGGTGGACCTGCCAAGTCCACGGGCTTCTCTTCGCCAAGATGTCGTCCGATGACGTGGCTAAGAGCGTTGGCAGAAAGCTGTAAGTACACGGGGCGTGTTGTACCATTTACGATCGAATAGTTGGCAACGGAGACCCTGAAAATGGCATCTGTTTATGTGCTGTATTATTTCCACCCAAAACTGCAACATACACGCCTTTTCAGAACGGTGATTGTCCATTTAAAGCTGAGGTTATAATGATGCGTGTTCGTGAGATAGCATCAGACAGCTTCATTATTAATGCAGGCAGTTCATTGTGTCTCAATCTGTATTCAGACCACATAAATGATGGATCGGGTCAGCCCAAGCAATACATGTCATCAGGAGAACAGGTGTCAACACCAGCACAGGATACGTTTGTGATTTTTATGGGATGCTGATTGCCAATGTCATCTAAGCTATAACAAGACATGGGTTAGATATTTGAATTATCAAGACAAAAGACTCAACATCATGCATTTTGGATATATATCACCTATTAGTATGACTACAAATGTATAAGTGAGTGTAAAACTATATAGTTAATTCTTAGAAATGTAGAAACCACAGTTGTATCTTATGGCCTTAGCAGACTGTCTTACCATTCATGTCTGATAATCAAGGATTTGACTAACACTTGACTTCAAGTGTTATAAAGGACCAATGACATTATAATGTCATTGAAAGAACTTCCACTCTCAAAACATGAATGTTCTGTTATCCTTGTTAAAATCACACATGAAATGAAGTTTTCATAGTTGAATTGGTACATATTTCCGTTACCACTGAGCAAGACAAAGCCATTTCTATTTGTGTGTGCAACAGAGTCACGAACATATATGGACCCAAACAAAAGCTAATTGGTATTAATGATGTTTTCCATTTGAAGTTCAATCTCTAACATCAAGTTGTAAGGCGAGCTGGTAGATCATGTGAAAGAAATGAGTTACATCATGGTCTAGGGCCCATGGCAACCCATGATGTTGCCTTAGTTTTATAACTTATTGACCTTCACAAGTCAATTTGTTAATGTCATAACAGGGTTTTGTTTATGTCAGTCCGTGAAGTTACTATTATTGTGGTATAGCTACATGTCAACCATCATCTAATGGTTATCTTTACAGAAAAAAAAAATACTCGTAGGCATTGTTTTGATGACAGACTTTAGGATATAATATTCAGTGGGTCTCTAAGGTGGTAGTGACAATGTTGAAGAACGGTTGAACATTGCTTCATGTTAAAATGGAACAGGAATGATACAATCAAAGCCCACCTTATCTTTGCCCCAGGTAATTATATTAAAAAGAAAGGGCCCAGGCAGGTGTAAATGATTGTTTCCTATGGTTACCAGACAAACACATTATTACGGTAGAATAAGTAAGTCATTAGTCTGATCAAGGACGTATCATATCATGTTCTTGTCTGATGAATTGCTTCCAGCAAAATGATGGAGCCTTCTTGGAAATCATTTTCATTCAATTGTGTACCAGTATTATCATCTTTTTAAGGCGTCTTCATTTCATGTAGATCTCTACCTCACCTGATTAAAATTCAGCACTTCGCTGAAGTACACTCTATATTCCAGACAAGTTTGCTTGTCTTCCATGTCAGCAGCTCCCGAGAAAGAATAAAGTAACAAGTTTTGTTACTCTAAAGCAAAGCCTCTAGAGACGAGAAAGAGTCTGCTTTCACTTGCTGTTTTCCATCTCAAAGAGCCTTCCATCACAAGATGAGTGGCATGGTGCATCTTGAAAGGAGTTCTGTTGCATAAGTCTGCAAATAATTCCCTCAAGTGCCGGCATTTTGCATGCCTAGAATAAGAATGAATCAGACAGTACACTTCAAAGTTGTCCAATGGATACATTGGTATTCTCATCCAGGGTCTGGCCTGTGTTTACACCCCATAGGAATCTGATGGTGGTTACCAAGCAGAATGTATGCAAAACAAATTAAGCACTCTATAAGCCTATTTAACTTTACAGTATGTGTTACCACTGTTACAATGTGTTGGGGGAAATACCCTTAATTCGTGCCTTTCTTTTCGATGTGTAGGAAATACTACATGCAGATCAAACGCAGGGAAGATGGTTTTGACCTTTCAGGAGCTTACCTCCCCCAGCAAGACTACCCACCCCTCAAGCCGGTAAGTACCAGTGATTGTGAAATGGTCTGAAACTCTCTAGACAACAGAGCGAAAGAAGAGTAGTACAAACAGACAGCACTATTCATATGAATATTTCATTGGTTTTTTTTAAAAGTTTATTGCTTTCAATGCCTGTAAATAATACGACCATTGACTACTTGATTAAAGTTTACTGACTTAGTAGAGACTACAGTACTGTACTGATATTATCATGTAAAAATGTCAGTCTTATGCAAAGCAAAATTCATCTTCTTGAAGACAGTCTCCTAAGATTTGTCATTGGTCTCACTGTTGGTAGTCATCATTAGCATATTGCATAAGGTTTGCAGTGTTTCTCCCTGTCTCCCATAGCAACAGCTTTGTGTTTGCTGTTTACTTTGGGTGAATGCTGGTCAAAAGTCACTGGATTTGGGAGCCCGTATGGCAAGTGCAATTCATCAGCTTTGACTGTCACGACAGTTGCTTTGTCCTAATGCCACGCTGCCTTGAACATGAGACTTCTAAATCTAGAAATGTATTGTTACTGGCACTGAAGTAAGGACACACATGTAGCAAGTGCAGTCACTGAATGCTGCAGAAACTGGTGATGAAGAATAAAACAACAAAGACTGTTTTTACAATAATATTTTCACAAATTGACTCAAACTGAAAGCTTCTTGCCTCCATCCCCACATGAGGTTCTCTGATCTGCACTTAATAACATCATCCTTAAAAAGGTTGATTACCTGTATGAAATAGAAAAGCCAATTGGTGGGCTTAAAATCATGATGATTTGATTAGGAAAGTTGTACTCTGACCTTCTTAGTTACAACTTTCTTAATCTTGGTCTTTATACAATTGTAGTTTGCACAGAAACCTATAGCAGCTCAACAAACTCTGCATACCTGAAGGTTCAGAAAGAAATGTTTCAGTCAACATAATCTAGAACCTTTTGTTGTTCTGAGTTAGAGGTGTCAGTCACCTTCAAGAACTGTTACAGTGTACTCAGTACCCCACCCTTATGTGATTTTAGGTAAACACTTGTGAATGGGTGGGGTCAAGTAACAAAGGCATATATTTGGTTTCTGCAGGGTGGGTGTAGCAGTACTAATGTATCATAGGTAGAGGATCTTGAAACAGGTGGGAGAAGTGAAGGTTTCTGGCTTGGCCTGTGGCCAGTCACTGGAGTGTATGGCTAATCCTTGGTAATGAGATGACAAGTGGAATCACCTGTGCTTACAGTTTTCAACCTTAACGAGCTTCAGTAAATAGGTGCAGATCAAATTCCTGTGCATAGTTCGACAATCTTTGTGTCACCTCCACACGGCTTGGGTCAGTTTACATCAAACAATATGGAGCCATAAAGGTCAACATCATCTCAAATATGGCCTTAATGGCAAGAGCGATATTGAACATATTGTCATGTTTTCTCGTAAAGAGAGAAGCATAACCGTTACGTTATATATTTTGTCAGTTTATCAGTCTCCTCAGGTGTTTAGCTACTTGGCAACATGTCCCATACAGCAAGCCTCCTATCGTTACCACAGTTATTTGTTCTCTTCTTTCTAAAGAACAAATATGAAGCTGGGTCAGCTATGTGTCAAAACAAACTTAGGTTGCTATGTGGTTGTGCTTCCATTTTGTTTGATTTATAAACATCCCAGCAATGTTTCTGGATGGTAGCATTTGGAACTCAGTACTTTGAAAGTATACAATGTAATTTTGTGTTGCTGCATGAGTTCTCTCATCTTTTACGCTTAATTAAAAGGTAAGCAACCAAGCTGTTGCTTTCCATTATGTGGTTGTTTACACACTACATACCTGTGCTTCACTGGAGACACATGTGAAAGATGATAACATGGTACAGGTGGTGTTGGAAGAAAATAGAAGAAAGAAAGTGACAGGACTTAAGCCTGCTGAACTGGTCATAATTGCATTTATATTTTAGACCTATCCTGGCATGACAAAATAATGGCATTACCTGAGGGTGAAACAAGAGGGCAGGACATCACCCAGCATACCTCACGTTACCAGGGAATTGTCAGATGATCATTCAGATTTCTGAGATTATTTCTTACCAATTGTGTCTCATCAATACCTTCAGTAATACCACTACTCTCTGCAAAACCTCGGCGTCACCATTTTTGTTGAGACTTATCAATCAGAATCTTTCCCAAAAGATAACATCTTTTTTTGTTTGTCCTGAGGATATACCTTCATTTAACACTTACTTAATTATTTCTACAGTCAGAAAAGTGCCAGGGTTAAAGGTGCAGCTGATAAGGGCAGCTGAGTGAACTGGTAACAACGGACAGGAGATAGTTGCTAGGTCACCATGTTTACATACACAGTGAAAAGGCAACTGACCACAAGTTCATTTAGTGCAAAGACTCTTGTGTACTAATAATCATATGTCCAAGACTTTCTCTTGAAAGGAAAGTTGTTAGGGAAAGATTGTTGAATGAAAAACTGACTGCTGATGTCAAATTTATTTTGTATGTAACGTTAGCCCCTCCTTGACCAAATAAACGAAGTTATTCAGTTCATGCAAGTTTGATTGAACCTCATTGGTTCAGGCAGCAACAGAAAGAAAAGTAATTTGTGGGCCTAATGTTATTAATGACTGAATGTTAGTGCTGACTCATAGAACAAGGCTTACTTTTGTATAAATCAATGTCACGGAATGCAGCGTGTTAGTGCAAGGTGGAATAGAGAGTGAGTGACTCCAGTTCAAGCCTCCATTTTTAGATACAACTATGTATCTATATATACTCATTATAATGATCTGTCCCCTGTGCAATAGCAGCTATGATTTACCATATACATGTAACACTTCTGAAGTGATTTTTTAATGATACTGCTTTTTTTTAATGGAGTACATAATTTTTGAAATATCATAGACATAACAGTATTGAGTTGCAAGTGAATTTCCAATGAATAAGAGCTGACACCTACCTTTCACTTGAATGCTGCATAATGACTGAGGATGGAGCATCATAATGATTGTTCTGAGTTCTTCTTGAGTGCCTGGATGTAGATTGTATGCTCATGTTGTTTCCCTTGTTTCAGAGACCACTCATGTTGTACCACGATGAGAGGATGCATGACCGCAGTCTGAAGCACTACTTCCACAGCCCTAATGTCAAGACTAAGATCCAGAAGCTGGGTCCGCCAAAGTCTCCCTACAATCAGAGAGAGGGAAAAGTCAGGTAACTGACAATACCTTACATAACGAACTTTGCATTAATACAATAAGTGGCATCACATGGTAGTATGGTACCTTAAAACACCCTTGGGAAGGACCCAACTTTGAGCCGTAGTCTAGGGCGCAAGGTTCTCAGCATTCAGCTAAAAGTGTTCAATGTACAAATCTTATTGTTCTTTTTTCCCTTCAGGAGGCGGATTGACAGGGTTGTTACTAAGACTCAGTTTGTGGAGCCGCTGATTCAGGATTTCAATGCACCCCACTCTCCCAGGGGCAGGCGTCGCTCTCCCAGCAGAAGGTACGTACAATAGGGACTGAGTAATGCTGGGTATATTCCATGACAGTCTTCCTGACATGACTGATTCCCTAGCACCAAGACATGCTAGCAACTGAAAACTTGATCCATTTTTTAAGAAAAATTAACCAAGTGGTACTTAGTCTTTAATACTGGGATTTACGATATCACTTTTTCAGAGCAAGGCTTCGTCCCGCCAAGAAGGTGCTGAGGAGGTCACCGCCCCCGACTATCACCAGGGGTGAGGCCCAGAGACTGGTCTCCATGGCAACCAAGTTACTTGTGGCAACAGTAGGTGTCCCAAACTCTCTCAGCAAAGTGTTGAGTATTGTAGATTCAAGTTCTTGTGGAATACAATTGAATTATATATCATAAACGTATATTTTGTCTTTCTTCAGGAAACTGTGGATTTGGATTCACTACCTGGGTATCACCGAGGTCCGACTGCTTCATACCCTGAGGTAAGACTAGAATTGCAAGCTCTTTGTCAATGGTTTAACTTTTAAGTGTCATCCATTTTGCCATGACGCATTATGTTCACAACATTTTCTCTGTCGATTTATGCTTTAACTAATATAAACAGCAGGACCTGATAACTTACTAACAATTGTGTCTTCCTTCACTCGTTAGGTCACAGGTGGAAGGCTTCCAACTCTTGCAGGAGGAAGAGTTCCTCAGAGACCACAGGTACAGTTCAATATTTTCTACCTCATATTTGCAGTACTTTGTAGTACTCTGACAATAGAGACATTAAGGCTTGACTCCCCTGCCCATCTTTGAAATCTGACATTGGGCATTTTATTTCTGCTATGCTCATAATTTCATTGCTGCCCTTTGATTGGTTCTTAAATCACTCTCTAACCTTGATTCTACCTCATGCAGAGTGCTCCAGCCAAGGAACAAAAGAAGCGGAGAGTGAAATACACATGGGACATCAACGGGCGCCGTGTCCCCGTAGAACCGTACATGCACACGGAGCCAGGCAGTGACGAGGACCCCGACAGGGAACCTGTCCCTGCTGAGTACAACGGCATGAACATTGCTGTGTCCAATGGCTCCACCAGACATATACCTGAGTGGTTACAGTAAGTAGCATTAGCTTTCTGGAACTTATTCCTCTTTGTATGGGTGCCATATGATATCAATAAAAAATTATCTTTCAGAGCCTGTTGTGATGCACATGGATGTACATTTCAGGCTACAAATGTCCAAGTTGGACATGGATCCACGGCAGCAGGTCAGGCCCAAGTCAGCTAAGTGGAGGCGAGGCAGGCGAACCACCTCCCCTCGCAGCCAGCGCCCGTACTCCGCCCACCCCACGGCCTACTATCCCCCTGTTCCCCCCGAGATGTACCTGGACCTCCCGCCCAACTCCCCTCCTGCAGGGGTGCCGCCATACGCCTGGTCACCTGAGTCTATCGACATGGCAACACAGACGATGGAGGAGATCGGGACACAAACAGACCTGGAGGACAGTGGAATGTCCACTCTGCATAGTGGAAAGGTAGGATGAAATACACCGTTTACTTCTGACCATCTACAAAAGGTTAACTCTGGACAGTTAGTCATTGATATTTCGTCTTTTCATCTATGTGAGAACCACAACAATTGTTTGATATTCTTCATGATCCTAGGTGTCCTCCAAACCCTCTGTGACTGAAGAGGTAGCCTATGAGGTGTCCGTCCACACTGCTGACCGCCCTGCGGCCAGCCTGAACCCAGAGGCCTCAGTGTTCGTCCAGCTGCATGGGAAGAAGGGGGAGACAGAGGAGGCGATCCTACAAGAGTCCAAGACTCACAAAATGGCCTTCCAGAAGGGACAGGTGTGGCTTGTTTTGCCTTTATGCCCTCCTCTTCTTTAGACGTCTGTTTTGGTTTGGTCGCCCTGGGGTCGTGAAGCATCAAATCTTCAATTAGTATCAACTTGAAAGTAATCTGTGGGTTATCAGATGATAGCACAAAGACACAGGCAATTATTTCTTACCTTTCATGTTGGCCAAAATGCAACTAAAAGCCGTCGTCAGTCTGACCTGCACCTGCTAACTGTAGCTTGGGGATAAGTTATGCTCAGTGGTGGCAATTTTAAAAGGTCACATGGCCGGGTTTCTCCTGAAAACATAATCCAGGTCTGATGCCACACATTATCAGGAAATCTTTTTAAGTCAGATGTCTTTCTTGTTATGTATGTAGTTATACCAAATACCCCATGCAGCTTTGTCTCTAAATCTGTCTCTTGAAACACTACACCAAACACCAAAATATGTTTAACTGTCATAACTATCATTACAATTAACCTTTAACCATGTTTCATGTTGGAAGTTGCATTTGAATAAAATAAAATTCAATTCTCATACTATTGATGATGATAAGCAGGGGAAGGGGATCAGAACAGACAGAATTTGATCTTGAATTCTTTTTTTTTCTATCATGAGCTAATGTAAACAATAGCCTGGATTGCAAAACTCTGGTATCATTTCAACTGCTGACAGAATATATGACAGAAAATTGTTTGCAAATTTATACTGTATGTCTCCGTCCTTACAGATTGACCGGTTTGATATTCAGACTACTGATGTGGGAAGACTGCTGTCTATCACTGTAGGCCACAGGCACACAGACACAGGTAAGAACAACTTATATTCCAGATTAAATTACCAACCATTAACAGTCTTAATTCAACGTGAAAGCTAATTTAGATATTCATGAGAAGCACTGCACCTGTGGCTCATGCAACCAAAAATTAATGCATGTATTGCTGTAAGTGTTGCTTTTAGATTTCAGCAGGGATTTCAGATAATAAAAGAACAGTTGGATTCAAAATCATCCAGACACGTTGTTATAATGTCCAATGGAAGTGTCCAATTTAAACCAGCTACAGCTATGGTATCTCCACCCAGTACTGACTGTTGTATGTCTTGTTCCCAGATTGTGTTTGGTATCTGGACAAGGTTGTGGTGAAGAGACTGAGGGAGCCAGCTGTGACGTATGAGTTTCTCTGCAAGTGTCAGCTGTCTGCTGAAGACAACAAAGCTGTCATGGAACTACCACTGAACTGGTGCTCAACTGAACTAGGTACTTGTGTAGAAGATTATGTGACTGAATGTGAGCAGTGCGAACACAATCTATTGAAACAGCTTAGTGTTCGGCTAACTCAGAGGCTTTGTAAATTTGATGGACAATTTTTTGGCCATCACATGGACCCTTTAATAAACATTTCTATGAGCATTTCAACTCTGTTACAGAATGTTATATGTGTAGGTTTATGAGTGTAGAAATGTACTTGTTATTACATTAATAATGAACTTCAAGGCTTTCTTTGTAACACCTTCATGTCTGTCTATGCAATGTACAATCCATCTGCTTCATTTCTGCCTACTGCATGCATTTCACTCAGTCATTTGAGTGAATGCCCTGTGAGGTTTACCCAGGTGGGTTGGAAAGGATGGCTACAAGGTGTTGTTAATATGTCTTGTCTTGTGCCTATCTGTGTCCAAAATGTTCTACTACTAACTGTTGCATGTAAGAGTTTTTTGTCCCCATTTCTGTCTGTAGTTTGTATCAAAACACAGAAGAGTAAACATGTAACTTCACATAACTTCAAATATATCTTCACCACACTCAGCACAGAAACATGCATTCCTGTGTCACTATGTTATCCACAGTGCAAAGGTCTTGTCTACATCCACAAATAACCGTACCTTGTATCTTTCCTTTGCTTGCTTATTTGTACATACATGTATATATGTAGCCGTGTCACCCTGAGTGAAGTGCACAATAACACACAAACACTTTATCTAAATCATAACTGTGTATTATGTCAACATTTCTTTTACAGATGAATCAGACAAGACATTGTCAAGCTCAAGTTCTGAGAGCGACTTTTCTGAGGAATCAGAAACAGAATCAGAGCTGGGATCCAGAGCATCTCAAAGGTCAGGCTCCCAGAAATCTGGATCTCTTGGGTCAGGATCTGAGAGGTCTGGATCTCACAGGTCATCAGGATCTGAAAGATCTGGATCTCATAAGACTGCCACAGAGAAGTCAGAATCTGAGGCAGAATCAAGGAAGTCAGAAGCAGAATCTGGGAAAAGTGAACGATCCAGAAGGAGTGAAGGGTCAAGGAAAAGTGTAGGATCACGGAAAAGTGAAGAATCTGCAAGAAGCAATGTTTCAAGAATAAGTGAGCAATCCAGATCAAAATCAAGTGAAGGGTCTGGGAAACGTAGAGGGAAAGTGTCAGAGAAACCTGTTAAGAGAACACCTTCACCTGACTTGGACAGCAAAAGGAAAAGAAGACACAAAAGGCCAGAGTCTCGCTCGTCACATTCTGGGATTGATGATGGGAAGTTGGATTCAGACAAGGAAGGGGAGACTGAGAGGGAGGTTGTGGTTCGTCCTAAAACTGCACGAGGCAGGAAGGTTCCAAAAGACTCAAATTCTGATGCTGAGCGAAGACCTTCCAGTGAAACGAAGGGGCTGACCCAGCTACTTATTGTGCATCCAGATGAAGAAGCAAAATCTGATGTGGAATATTCTGCCACAGACAATGACTCTGTGGCTGTAACTGACCGCAGTGAAAAGATGAGCTATGTGGAACCAAGTTCAGACAGCAGTCTGACAGATGTTGAGGATGAGCCATACTACCAGAAAGATCTCCCATCTGATAGAGACATTAATGAGGAACAGCAGGAGGAAACACCACGGAGGCTGGTGAATTACAGTGACACGGCAGGAGAAGGGGAGGGCAGCGGCAGTGAGGAGGAGGGGGCAAAGGCAGAGGACAGTGACAGCAGTGACTCTCAGTCTGTCCATAGTGCAAGGCTAGTGTCAGAAGTGGAAACAGAAAAACCTCAGGTGGAAATGGTGCATGTGGTACAGCAGCCAGCCATGGCCCATGGTCCGCCTCCAAAGAAGGCAATACTGAAACAAGTACCAAGCGCAAATCTGGTGACTATTGTGGCTGAGGTCCATGTACCTACACCAACTGAAAGAGGAGTTGTCCAGGAAGAGCCTGAAAGAGAAGAGACAGTGTCAAGTGAGCCTGAGAGGACAGAGACTGTCACAAGTGAGCCTGAGGGGACGGAAACTGCTCCAAGTGAAAGTGTGAGGACTGAAACTGAACAGCAAGAAGCTGAAGACCTGAACGAAATCACACCACCCACCTCCCCAACCATTGAAGCATCTGAGGGAAGTCTTGGTTCGCGTAGACTGAGCGATGTTGGGGAGACCAGTGGTGAGACCCCTGTGCCGAGGAGTGATGAGACGTCACAGAGGGGGGAGGAGGAGAGGGGGCAGGGCAGTGGAGAGAGTGACGCTGACGGGGAGGGCAGCACAAAAGCCGATGGAGAGGGTGAAGATAAGGATGCAGATCAGCAGTCAGAACAGAATGACACTGGGGAGAAAACTGAAGGACAGGGTGATGAAGATGATAAACAAGAGGGAAACATAGTAGAGGATGCTGTGGAAATTGGAAAGGATGACAAGGAAAAGTAGATAGTGGGCAGCAGGAAATGGAGGACTCCGGGAAGGGAGATGAGATCGAGAAGAGGGGAGAGAATGAGAACAAAGAAGAAACTCCCGAAGAAGCTGGTAGTGTCTTCATGGAAGGTTTTAAGGTGAGTATCAAAGACAAATCAAAATCTTATTAATCTGTTGTGAAAAGGATTGAAATTTATGGTACATTATGGGGTAAATATACATACCAGTACAAGCTTTACAGCTGGCTCTCTATATCAAATGTGGGACAGTGCAAAGTAATACTAAAGATTCCTCTTAAGGGGGCACACCCCAGTTTATTTTGGGTCTCAGTTCGATTCTGCATACCCTCAACTCTAGCAACCGTCTCTTTCAGGAAAAACCTCTTAAGCCAAAACACTCTGTTTGCAAATGAAGGATATCCCTCTAGCTACGAGAACAAAAGAATTTCAATTTCTTTCACCTCTCACATTTTAGCAAATTTTAGGGGGGAAAAGAATTTTTCGCTGAAAAATGATGCCAAAAATTGGCCATTTTCACGTGGAATTAAACCCATCACCCAGATTTTTGCCACCGATATGACTTATATGGTCGGAAAGAGAAAACCCTTATGTATTATTAAGAAAAGTATAAAGAAAATCCTAACACTCAGATTATCACAATAGCCCGTCGCGCGAGGCATAGCTACAGCACCCCCAGAACGCATACAAGGCAAAACTAGGTCAAACCGAAGCACCGCGCTCAGGGCGGAAGGACACCCGGAAGTAAGTCTCGGGCCCGAAATCAATTTTCACCCAAAACACGCCACTTCTTACACTTTTCAGCCATGTTAGTAGCTAATCCCATTTTGCAGCAGATTATGAGAAATGTAAACTCAAACATGAACCATCGGAACCCCTTCGTCACTTTTTTTCCGGGCACTATAGTGGACCCCTGTCGCGGAAGAACTGGTGTGTGCACCGTTAATGTTGGTTGATGAGCACCAAACTTTTGTGTATTCTAGGCGGGCCTTGAAGCAGTCAGAAAGTCAAGTATGTCAACAGCGAGTCCTTCAGCAAGCCTGGCATCACTACACACAGAGGAGACCCATCCCAAAAAGGGCCCAACGATACACCAGGCGGCCAAGATAGGGGACTTGGACAGACTGAAGGAGCTTGCCACGTATTCAGAGGAGCTTGTGAGGTGGGTGGGTCAATACAAGTGTCAACTGAATTACTTGGAGCTGATTTTAAACATTCCAGTATGGCAGAATATGGATCGAGTTGACAAAGCCATTAATTTCACCCTGGTCTTCTTTCTTCCAGCCAAATGGATGAACGAGGCTGGACTCCCCTCCATGTTGCTTGTGCTAATGGCAGGCTGGAAGTAGTGAAGGTAAGATGGTGTGTCGTAAGGTTGTACTATTACATTGAGAGTATTATTCTGCTTAATTGAAGTTTATGTGTATAGTCACTGTATGGCTTCCTTATTTGTCTGTTTTTCTAAGAAGTTGTCATTTTGTTGTAACATTCTGAGACTGAGTGTGTGTACACTTCTTGTCTCCTGACTAGCACTTGTCTGTGAAGACAGCCAACCTGTACAAGGAGACACCTACTGGGTACACACCGATGCACATAGCTGCCATGAACGGCCATGTCAACTGTATGATGGTGGGTGGTGGTGGTTTCTTCCCGTCTTACAAATTGAGACCACTAGATATATATTGTTGCTTAGACTGTGAACAGTAGTGAAAAGTTCCTTTCTCAACAGTGGTAATACAAACTATTCTGAAAGAATGAAAAAAAAAGGAAAAAAAGACAGCATACATGTACTCTTACCTGACAGGTTCTGCACGCTATGGGATGTCCCATCAACTCTCGCAGTGCAGACAGCCAGACCCCGCTGCACCTGGCCGCCATGAACGGACACCCCGAGTGCTGCAAATGGCTGCTGGCCAACCGTGCCTCACTGGACGCCAAGGATGCCATGGAGCGCTCTGCACTTGAACTGGCAGAAGAGTACAAGCATGACACTGTGGCCCAGCTGCTGCAAACATGCAGGAAGGAACTGGAGAGGAAAGACAGTTCCCTCACTCTGCTCAGGACATCAGGGTAAGGAACTGAGCATTGGCCTAACCTCTTACTGTGTGCATACAAATGGACTACTATTTTTCTTTATTTCACTTCACCAAACAAGATGGAAGAGATGGCAAAACAGGTGTAAGAACATCTGCTAGTTACCAGACAATGAAATGTGCTCACAAGTGAAAAGTTGTATTATTATCTTACAGAACATCTAAAGATGCTGATGTTGGCCAGCCAGTGGAGGAAAGTGAAGAAACAGAGACGTGGCATGATGATAAAGAAGTGAGTCTGGTTTATAGTCTTATTGCTATGTACATGTATTGTTTTGCACAGTGGTTGTGATTTTTTCAATTAAGAAAGAGAACTGTTCAATTCCTTGCCTATCACTGATTGAAAGAAGGTTATGCCATTAATTTGTTATTCAAACAATGACAACTTTTATGAGTTGATAAAAGAACAAATTAATAATTTTACAGGAGCCTCCTAAGAAAACAGAGGAGAAGGGGAAAGAGGAGGACAGCTCTGCTAAGGACAGTGAAGAAGGTTCAGATGAAGATGAGGAGTCTGACAAGTTGGACGATGCTCTGCCAGAAGCTGTGAAGAAGAAAGAGAAGGAGGCTCTTCTGGTAAGGGCTCAGAAATTATCTGGAATATGAATACAGGGGTGGCCATTCTCAAAATTCTGTAGACCGTTAAGGAACAAATAAGTAAAAACATCTAAATAATCGGCCATCATCAAAAGAGCTGATTTACAGGTATGATGTGAAGATCTACAGTGAAGATAGCAATCTTTTGTTCAGATTCTAATACTTTCTTTCCCACCTGATGCTCCAGGACAGGAAACGTTCGTATCAAGAACAGCAGGAGAAGATGGCAACAACCAACACCAGCTTCCTGGATGCCATCAGATCAGAGTTTGAATAATACACATGTAAAGATTATTTTACAATATAGGTGTGTCACACAAATAATGTAGATGTACCATATTAGAGGGCAATGGAAACAAATTGTAACAAATAGTTTTAACAATCATTCCTTCAATAGGGAAACAAAATACCATACTCATACCTCTGTCCCCATAGCCCCAGGGTACCATCCTCCATAGATACCACCAGCTCATTCTTGTTGCTAGCCTGGGTACCATCCTCCATAGCCTGGGTAGTCAGCAACAATCAGAGAGAGCCAACGGTACCTGTGGAGGATGGTATGCAGGCTATCAGAAATGCTCTTGAAGTAGCAGTGCTCAAAGGAGACTTGTACATACATGTAGATGGAAAGCATGCAGAATATTATGATGTCAGAGGTCTGTAGGTCAATTTGAGTGAGTTTTCTGGTGGAAAATGTACTGCCTTGTGTAAATAGCTGCAATACTGCAGGATTAATTGCTGATGGGATTATCTAATAAATTGTCATAAATCCATCCAGCAGAACTTACTAAGGGAATATAGTTTTAGTACATACATGTACTGGCTTTAATTAATACCAAGATCTGGGAATAGTGGATGACTAAAATCTGTGTGCAGTAATATAGATTCAATGATTTTGTTTGACCAAAAGTGGGCAACAGATTGATTTTGTCTAGCATGGTGCCATCCTGTTTGTATACCAGGGCTCCCAGTGAGCGAATATGGGAGCCGTGCTATACAAAGGCGATGGCACCCAGGATAAATTCCATCCACCAGCCTGGTTCAATGTCAGCTATGATTGAAGGTTATTGTGATGGGAGGTGGGGAGTAAGACTGCAATACTTAAAGTACATGTAGATGATGTCTCTGCAATATTAGTGGATGTATGAAATTGAAGTGGTCCTTGATTACAGAGATTATGTTCTTGTCTGTATATGTCTTCACCTTTAGATACCATTGGTATGATGTAACTTTTGTATACACAGTTCTAGTGGAATACTGGAGCTTACATGTACATGCTGTATGAGGCTACAATCTCCATACAAAATACAAGAAGATAACTTTAAACTTAACTGCAAAGTTAAATTGATTTGGCCAAAATGCATCTGGACATGCCAAGTGATTTTCATTGATATACTAGTAATTCTAACATGACTTTGTGATGATGGCATGTCTAGAGATCACAATACTGTCTATCTACTTCGAATGCTACATATCTCGAATACCGCAATAGGAGATTGATAATTGTAAGCTTCATCACATCCCATTAGGTGCTATATACACACACTAGGCTAGTTGCTGCTACCAGAACAGTGAAACAAAATAGGTGCATGGTGCCAACCTTTAAAGAAATAGCTGTTATTTTTGTGGCAGAAGTATTATAATAGCAGCTGTCTGCATTTAAATAAATGTGTAGATTTTTCCATTTTTGTGTCCAAAGTGTTTTCTTTTGAAAAGTTTTAGTCTCTGTCCACAGAGTGTCAATATGTTCATCTGTCTGGTAGTGAATGGTATTGGCAAGGAGGATAAAAATCAAATTCAAGCTGTTTCAGAAAAGATGACTAGTGTGATACTGCACACGATAAGAGAGGGGGTCATTGATGAGGTCTGACTCTGAGGGAAATAAAAAGGTTTTTGGTTGCTATAAAAGGGTTTGGGCCAACTTGATAGATTATATAACGTTAATATTGTAAGTCTACTAATGATAGCACACTGGTTGATCTACTATGTTGTCTGAGGAAACTACAATATTCTTTCCGATTCTGTGTGCGTGTTCCGTGCAAAAGAGAAAACTGTAGCGTGGGGTCTGCCCGCGCTCTGGGACTGTACTCGATCAGTTGAGGGCTCAAGATGGCGCTCGGCTCGACCGCCACCGGCCGAAGTAGATCGTGTTGGAAGTGGGCTTGTGGAGTGTTACCGAGCCACCATGTTCACCATTAATGACCTACCGTTAGTCACTGGATTTTCGCTGCCCTGTAAGGTCTCTGGAACCGACAAAAGAGAGGTTAGGTTGTTGACAAGGCGGCCAGTAACTTGACAGCTCACCCCGCACATTCCGAGACTCGGCCGCCATGACAGCACAGGGAGTGTGTGAGACCCAACTTTTATCAGGCGCACTTTCCTCGCAGATCACACGATATCCGGAACAGCACGACGCAGATCGTTAGCCAAGGGGTAGGTTGCGACAATGAAATCGCGACCAAGTGCACACTGCGTCCAGAAACGGCAAGAAATAGACCCGAGATGGAAAGCTTCACTGAGCGACAACGCTTCCCTTGCAAAAGTCGCCGTTGTCGCCATCTACAACCATCGACGCCGACAAATTTTGCCAGAGGCGTGAAGCACGATTCCTCAACCGCCTTACGGGCGCAAGAAAGTGTGTGATCCGTGCTTGCCGACCGGGTAGCAAAGGTGGAAGTTGGACAGAGAAGCACAACTTTTTGCACAGGAAGCCATTTTGCGAGAGGAGGGCTCGCAAGATCAAGTGTTGCTTCCGACCACGTCCGCAATACAAGTATAAACGCGGTGCAGCACCACTACGAGTCTAATTCTCTGTTTCCGTCTCGACATCCCGATACGACTGCAGACATGGCAGATACCGCAAGTTCTCCCAAGAAGGTCGCCAAGGCCAAGAAGCCCCAAGGCTCCAGCAGCCCATCCTCCGTGCAGTGACATGATCACTGCGGCCATCACCGCCTGAAGGACCGCAAAGGCACGTCCCTGGCGGCCATCAAGAAGTACGTGGCGGCCAACTACAAGTTCGACGTGGAGAAGCAGGGCCATGTCCTCAGGCGCACCCTGAAGCGCATGGTGGAGAAGGGCACTCTGACCCAGCCCAAGGGGAAGGGCGCCTCTGGCTCCTTCAAGATCAGCGCCGCTGCCCAGAAGCCGGCCAAGCCCAAGAAGAAGCCCGCCGCCAAGAAGCCCGCTGCCAAGAAGGCGAAGAAGCCAAAGAAGCCAGCTGCAAAGAAGCCTGCGGCCAAAAAGGCAAAGAAGTCTCCCAAGAAGGCGGCAAAGAAGTCTCCCAAGAAGGCGGCAAAGAAGTCTCCTGCCAAGAAGGCGAAGAAGCCCGCCGCCAAGAAGGCGAAGAAGCCAGCCGCCAAAAAGGCGAAGAAGGCGACGAAGAAGCCGGCCAAGAAGTAAGAAGCCATCCAACCAAAACAATACTACACCGGCCCTTTTCAGGGCCAACCACATCTTCCCAGAAGTACTATTTCACATCGCTTAACACTTTGGCATATCATAAACAGGGAAATAAAATAAAAGTCGAAAAGGACGATATTACTAGTAGTTTGAATGACATAGCTAAACCTAATACTTGTACCAGCCCTGGTCTGTGCACAGACGCGACACAAGTCTGGTATATCTTACTACATCCATAGAAAACTAGTAGTTTCTCCAGGTTCAGCTTCTCGCTTCTGAAGACAGTTGTAGATGTATTAGAAAAGTGGTTTAGGGTTGACATGCGCTACAGGACAACAAGGAGAAAATCGTCTACATGCGCAAGCGATACCAAGTTTTTAATTCCACGAACACCAAACCAAGTAAGACATTTATCATTTCATCAAAATTTATGGGAGATGCGGAAAGTGGTCATTCAAAAGTGCCCTGAAGGTCAAACTCAGTAAAAGAACAACTTTAGTGTAGAGTAGAATAGGTCCGACTCGGTCAAGTCCACGATATGACGAGCAATTTTCAAATTCATCGAATTTTCCTGCCGTCAAGTCATTTGCTGACCACATTCGGACACGAAAAAAAAGTCGTCGTGCAGAGCTTGCTGCAAATCCTGGATTCAGCACTGGCCATCATCAGCCAATCCACATCTGGCATTGCTCGGCAACATCAAATAGGAGTGCGGTCAGAGGAACCGATCATTGGCCTCAATTTTTGGGAATATATGCAAGCGCCACCAAATAAATAGCAAACACCTCCTCTTGCGGTAACTTTTCTTGTCGATTCGCACAGGAGACACACGCAATGGCTCGTACCAAGCAGACCGCCCGTAAGTCCACTGGAGGGAAGGCCCCCAGGAAGCAGCTGGCCACCAAGGCCGCTCGCAAGAGCGCCCCGGCCACCGGAGGTGTCAAGAAGCCTCACCGTTACAGGCCCGGCACCGTGGCTCTCAGGGAGATCCGTCGTTACCAGAAGTCCACCGAGCTGCTCATCCGCAAGCTGCCCTTCCAGCGCCTGGTCAGGGAAATCGCCCAGGACTTCAAGACCGACCTTCGCTTCCAGAGCTCTGCCGTCATGGCTCTGCAGGAGGCTAGCGAGGCCTACCTGGTCGGTCTCTTCGAGGACACCAACCTGTGCGCCATCCACGCCAAGCGTGTCACCATCATGCCCAAGGACATCCAGCTGGCCCGCCGTATCCGTGGCGAGCGTGCTTAAACACCCAGCCTGACCCAAGTAACCCCGGCCCTTTTCAGGGCCACCCACATTTTCCAAAAAGAACCATGTTGTCGTCATGTTATCCCTTCTTAACACGCGTCGACTGATCAACGTACATTCAGAAACACGTGCCACACACAACACCTATTATTTATTTGCGCGCTACATGTAACGTTACGTGTATAATGTGGGGAGGGAGAGAGGACAGAAACAGCAGTCTGAGCAAAGTTGTCAGAAACGAATGCATTTTCGCCCTTCTTTGGGTCTTACTTTTAATTTAACCCATGATTTAACATACTGTGTAGTGCGACTGGACATTGAAATCCCGTCGTTCATAAATTTACATGGTGCCTATGCTAACGTTCGCCTGCAACCGCCATGTTCGCCTTCTCCTAGGTCCGTATACTAAAGCCCTAATCTCCCAGCGGATTCGTTCGGGGGCATGCAGGGGACGATCAAACATTTTGCCCATATCTACGGGCGACCAATGGTTACAGGCGGCCAATATAGACTCCCCTTACCCCCGAGAATCTGTTCGGAGGTCAGATCCGTCAGTAGACATTTTGAATTGTCCAACGTACTGTATACAACGTGAACCAAAGTTTGAATTTTCGTATATCATCAATATTTGATCAAACACCATGCAAATTGCTTGCGGAGCCGACATTACTGGCAGCAGCTCTGCTTCCTACCACGTCCGCAACAACCGGATAGGATCCTAAATTTGCATGTGCTCTCTTATAAATAGGTTGTGCACACGATTAACGCCAGTAGTTCTGTTCACCGATCGAGAACAACATGCCGCCAAAAGGAGGAGGAAAAGCCGCCAAGAAGGCCGGAAAGGCCAGGCCCGCTGGAGCCAAGGGCAAGAGGAGGAGAAAGAGGAGGGAGACCTTCGGTGTCTACATCTACAAGGTGCTCAAGCAGGTGCACCCCGACACCGGTGTCTCCAGCAAGGCCATGGGCATCATGAACTCCTTCGTCAACGACATCTTCGAGCGTATCGCCGCTGAGGCTTCCCGCCTGGCTCACTACAACAAGCGCTCCACCATCAGCAGCCGGGAGATCCAGACCGCCGTGCGTCTGCTGCTGCCTGGCGAGCTGGCCAAGCACGCCGTCAGCGAGGGCACCAAGGCCGTCACCAAGTACACCAGCTCCAAGTAAACTGTCTGACCGCCCGACCAGTATACCCCGGCCCTTTTCAGGGCCACCCACATCTTCCAGAAAGTCCCGTATCGTGTCTCGATAATCTTGTATACTAGTACTAGTATTCAACACTGACCAGTCGTTTCTGTACTATTCCATGTATTGAAATGAATGAAAAAATTGTATTGTACGTTCATGCTGTGATACGGTGACAATATAGTGTGGCGCCGGTAGATGCTTATTGCTACCTCTACAGTGGCTAGGCCATTGTATGTATGGGTTTAGCAGTTGTCGGTTCTCGCATCAGAAAACGATTTCAAACAATGAATTTTGAACATCTGAATTCAGCACTGCATTGATGGGAAAACATTAACAACTAGGAAGACTGGCTTTCCTCAACTGTTGGGGCCAAAATATGAGCATTTGAAGATGACTCGGAACCTGAATACCTTTTTCGGTATTTTGGGGGAATCTAGAAAAAAAACGTGGCTATATACACTCCCGGAGTGTATATAAAATCTATTTGTCTTTTATATACACTCCCGGAGTGTATATAAAATCTATTTGTCTTTTATATACACTCCGGGAGTGCATATAAAATCTATTTGTCTTTTATATACACTCCGGGAGTGTATATAAAATCTATTTGTCTTTTATATACACTCCCGGAAAGTTGATAGGGCATTCGAATGATCTGTCGCCGGTGCGAAGACCGCGCGATCGGCTGTGTTATCCGGAGTCACCAAAGGGACCGGGGCGAACCCCGGGTTGGTCTTGGTCTGATAAATGCACGCCAGACCGTGAGGTCGGCGCTTCTTCCGCATGTATTAGCTCTAGAATTACCACAGTTATCCATGTAGGATGTGACGATCGAAGGAACCATAACTGATTTAATGAGCCATTCGCAGTTTCACTGAGACAGTTTAAACTTGCACGTGCATGGCTTAAACTTTGAGACAAGCCTATGACTACTGGCAGGATCAACCAGGTAGCGAGGACGCCAGGGGCGCGCG